TTTGCATAATGTTTTGCATGTTCCATCATTCAAATTTAACCTCATTTCTGTTAGTAGTTTGTTACAAAATAGTAATGGTTCAGCTCATTTCTTTCCTGATTTTTGTTATCTTCAGGAGTCTATTCAGGGCTTATGATTGGTAAAGGCATTTTACTGCATAACTTGTACATTCTGCAACCTGATACATCTATATTACACCATTCGTCAGATTCCACCATTGCTTTACCATCTCAGTCGACTTCACACCATTTCTCTGAATCCTTGAAGGTTGATGGGAATCTTTGGCATCAACGCTTAGGACACCCATCTTCTAACAAGTTAAAGGTTTTGTCTAAAGTTCTATCTCTGCCTTTATCTAGTTTGGAAAATAATGAACATTGTTCTGTCTGTCCACTAGCAAAACAAAAGAGATTGTCATATGAGTCTAATAATCACCTTTCTAGTTTTCCTTTTGATCTTCTTCATTTAGATATTTGGGGTCCATTCTCAGTTGAGTCTGTTGAGGGTTATAGGTTTTTTCTCACTATTGTAGACGATTGTACTAGAGTTACATGGGTATATCTGTTGAAAAACAAAAGTGAAGTAATAAAATTGTTTCCACTATTTCTTACATATGTTTCGACTCAATATAAGTGCAAAGTCAAGGCTATTAGGAGTGATAATGCACCAGAATTAGCATTCACTGATTTAGTTAGGGAACATGGTATGGTTCATCAATTTTCTTGTGCTTACACACCTCAACGGAATTCTGTTGTTGAAAGGAAACATCAGCATTTGTTAAATGTGGCTAGAGCATTATTGTTTCAATCAAATGTGCCTTTACAATATCGGAGTGATTGCCTTTTAACAGCTGTTTTCCTTATAAATAGAACTCCTTCTCCTCTTTTAAACAATGTTACACCATATGAACTACTTCAAAAGAAATCACCTGATTATGCTTTTCTTAGATCTTTTGGTTGTCTTTGTTATGCTTCTACTTTACCAAAAGATAGACATAAGTTTAGTGAAAGAGCTGATCAATGTGTTTTCTTGGGTTATTCTTTTGGTTATAAGGGTTACAAAATTTTACATTTGGATACTAATCTTGTCTCTGTTTCGAGAAATGTTATTTTCCATGAAACTTTGTTTCCTTTTAAAACAGATAAACAGTTTCAGAATAATGAAGATATTTTTAAGAAACTTGTTTTACCTTTGTCTATTCCTGACATCATTCAACATGAGAATAATGACATGCATACATCTGTAGCTTCTTCATCATCTCATGCATCTACAATTCCTAACAGTGCTACACATCTAAACCACTCTAGTATCATCAATCCTGTTACTGAGACTGTGCCTGCAGAGACGACCATGGTGTCATTACCAAATGCCAGATCAAAGCGACAAGCAAAAGTTCCAGGTTATCTCTCTGACTATCATTGTTCTCTTACACAAATTTCTTCTTCTCATCATTCTTCTACTTCTTCTAAACCACATACCACACCTTATCCTATTTCTTCTTTCCTTTCCTACCAAAAAGTCAAGCAACCATATCAGGAATATATACTCTCTATTTCCCTAGAAACAGAACCCAAAAATTTCTCACAGGCCATAGCATCACAACAGTGGACGAAAGCGATGAATGTGGAGTTGGAATCTATGGAGCTTAACAAGACATACAGTGTTGTCTCATTACCACCAGGGAAGAATGTGGTGGGATGTAAATGGGTTTACACCATTAAGTATCATGCTGATGGTAGTATAGAAAGATACAAGGCTAGATTAGTTGCTAAGGGTTTCACACAACAGGAAGGAGTAGACTATTTTGAGACATTCTCACCTGTTGCTAAACTTGCAAGTGTGAAACTGATATTGGATCTTGCAGCTAAGAAGAACTGGAGCTTATCTCAAATGGATATTACTAGTGCTTTCTTGCACAGTGATCTCGAAGAGGAAATTTATATGAGTTTGCCTCAAGGTTTCACACCAGCTTCTGGAGTTCTTCCTTCCAACCCAGTATGCAGATTACACAAGTCCATTTATGGTCTTAAACAAGCATCACGACAATGGTACAAGTGTTTATCTTCTGCTCTACTGGACGATGGATTCTTACAGTCTCCTGCAGACAACACATTGTTTGTCAAAGTACAAGGTACATCTTACATTACCTTACTGGTTTATGTAGATGATATTTTGATTGCAAGCAATGATGAGACAGCAGTAGCTTCTGTTAAGGCTACTCTTGCTAAAAAATTCAAAACAAAGGATCTTGGACAGGCAAAGTATTTTCTAGGACTGGAAATTGCTAAAAATAGAGAAGGCATTTCTGTTTGTCAAAGAAAGTATTGCTTGGATTTATTGACTGATACAGGAATGTTGGGATGCAAGCCCAAACCTGTTCCAATGGATCCTAAAAAGGAGTTAACAAAGGAAACAGGGGAATTACTCCCAGACTCTACTCCATATAGAGAATTGATAGGAAGGCTGCTATATTTGTGCATTACCAGACCTGATATCACATTTGCAGTAAACAGAATAAGTCAATTCTTATCTTGTCCTACTGATGTTCACATGGAGGCTGCTCGTCATATACTCAAATACTTGAAGAATAGCCCTGGCCAAGGACTTTTCTTCTCTGCATCATCAGATATTTGTCTCAATGGTTTTGCTGATGCAGACTGGGGTACTTGCAAGGACTCACGCAGATCAGTCTCTGGAATGGCTGTCTTTCTAGGCTCTTCATTGATCACATGGAAATCGAAAAAGCAGGACGTGGTGAGTTCAAGCAGCACTGAGGCTGAATACAGGAGCATGGCGCAAACTACAAAAGAATTACTGTGGTTCAACCAACTTTTGAAGGATCTACATATCACATTGGATTCTCAGGTTAAGTTGTTCTGTGACAGTAAGTCTGCAATATACATTGCAACAAACCCTGTTTTTCATGAGAGGACGAAGCACGTGGAAATTGACTGCCACACTACTAGAGATCAGATAAAGAGTGGCTTCTTAAAGCTCTTTCATGTCTCTACAGGGAATCAGATTGCAGACATCCTGACAAAGCCATTGCATCCGGGTCCATTTCATAACATTCTTGGCCGCATGTCGATATCAAACCTCTTTTCACCAAAAGCTCATTCGGTTTGAGGGGGGTATATTAACATATATGTGTATAAGGTTTATTGTATAGTTAGAAGATATAAGTCTCCTTTAGCTTATATCTTATCTGATATACATGTACATATAAATACTGTTGTACAGACTTAGGAAACATTAATGAGAATCAGTTTTAATATTTGAGAGTGTTAATACATGGCTATAGGAAGTTTTGGAAAGGTGCTAAGTATGGAATATGATAAGTCGTCGCTTTGTTGCTATTATTTAAACAAGTTGAGTGAAACCCTAGTATTCCCGCTGAAACGTTTCATATTACTTTCATTTTTTCTAAAAAGTTTCGAATGTTTTATGTATATTTCTTTTCGTTTTTAATGGTAACAAAAGAAAAATTATTTCACTTAATTCAGTTAAAACTTAAAAACAATTACGTCAATACTAATATTTTTTTTTAATATATAAAGTAAATGACAGTTGTAGGAATCTAAACTTGGGAAAAGAGTGTTATCATCACCTAGGGAATTACCAAGTATATGAATTGTTAATTGCTACTTTGAAAAAAAGTAGAAAAACTGGTAGATATGTTGCTAAACTTTTAAGAAGCTTTCTTTGTTTCTCACTACATTGTTGATTCGTTGTTTTACTTGCTCTATCTTTACCATGACATGAGCCTTCTTGTCAAAACATTCTAGGTCCTGTGCCTTGGTTATATCATTAAAGAAGTAAAGCTCTATCAACAAAAAGCTAAACTCTCCTTGCGTGTATTCAAAGTTCACGAGTTTCTAACTCAAAATCAAGAGTGAACGCTTTAGAGAATTACAAACACGTTAAAGAATATTATATGGATAAAAGCAATCATAACCTCTCTACACCAAAAGGTTAGTTGATTAGGTAGACTTAGAAAAACTGAAAAACAGAGCCAGTGCTCTGTTCTTACAATAACACAGTGAATGCTCTCCTCTCTAAGTTCTATCAAAAAGTCAGTGTAAATAGTGTAGCTGTCTTCTAATGTTGGCTTCTTTGACAACATTGCTGGATTAGAAACTTTACTCAGGTTTGAACACAACATTGCTGTCTTCTGACGTTTTCTCCACTTCTTATCATGTCTATGTTTTGTATTAGAAGTATTATTAATGAATCGGTCTTTGCAAACATGATTGAATGTCGAGTGACCATTCGCAGATGACCATAGGTAGCTTAGTCATGGATTGCAGTATTAAAAACATAGACAAGGCTCAAAGAACAAACATACGAATATATAATCGATGGTTGAAGAAAGAAACATCATTCAGTAAAACGATAAACCGAACATATATGCGATTTAGAGTGCATAGATAAAACTAGCTACAACAAACAAACAAACAAAAAGGGTCAGGCTTTCTAAGTAGCAGGCAACTGATATATGAACAAAACGACATACCAAGGATCTGATATGATAATTACTCCTCTTCGACTTCATCTTCTTTCTTCTTCGTTTCGCCGGGTGATGCGAATCTTCATCTTAAGATTAGACATGGGAACTGTTATGAAGCACTTCTCAGGAGCTTGAAAGCTCACTTTCTGAATCTTATTCATCTTATCTGATCCTCTTGTCCAATGTTCACCTCCATACGAGTCAGAGAGTACAAAAGCAAACTCCCCAACTCCATGAGCAGAAGGTGCTATACAGTTCACAGTGAAAGACACTCCATCTGGCTTCTCGAAACCCTGAATTACAACCAATGGACCATCTTGATATTCCTGAAGGACAAGAATCTTTTCACTGAATGGTAGCCATGCATCAGTCTCATGGCCACTACCGAAATGATCATAGCCACACCAACTCTTGTGGTTAGCATCGTAGTGGCTATACAGATCCTTGTACATGCCTCTGTAGTTGCAGTCTGGTGCAGGACAGTAACACGGAGTGAAAATGCATTCTTTCTCGTGGACTAGTTCTTTTCCGTAATAGAACTTCTCACTGCAACCATATTTGGCGTTCGGGCATGGGACAATGACTGCTTCTACGACAGTCTCCAGTATTCGGCATCGATAGTTACCGATTGGTAAATAACAAGCAGAGCATTTATACCTCTGTTTCTTACAGCATGACTGGCAAGCAATATGTCCGCTATCACACTGAGATTAAAAACAACACAATTAGTTATTGTTACCCACAGGAGTATCACAGAGAAAAGAAACGTAGAGAAGGCTTTTCACTACTCTTTAAGTAACTTATCAACTCAATGTGGTAGTCAAGATAAATTTTGAGAAGTCAATGTTCAAAGTCACCAAAACAATTAACAAATATAAGCTTATACAAATCTGAAATGGTTCCTAGTTATTTGTAAAGCATGAATTTCTAGCTAATCACAGCTATCTCACTAAATTCTCATATCAACAAAACCTATGGTTCCTAGCTTTTCTTAATGTTACGTTTTACAAAATTTTATCTATAAACATAATAAACCACAACACTTTTTCAAAATTATGAATTAAGATGCGATTATTATAGGAGAAGAGTGGTGGAAGTAAGAAGATAAGACCTGAAAGATAGGAGCCGTGAGTGCCTTAGAGCAAACAGGACAATCGAGAAGCTGTAGATCGAGCAGCGTTCCTGATTGTGTCTCGGAGATCACAAGATCACCGTCTACACTTTCAGTCCTCGTTCCTTCACTATTATCACCTTCTTCTTCTTTGTCTTCTTCTGAGATCACAAGATCACCGTCTACACTTTCAGTTCTCGTTCCTTCACCATTCTCACCTTCTTCTTCTTCTTCTTCTTCTTCTTCTTCTTCTTCTGAGATCACAAGATCACCGTCTACACTTTCAGTCCTCGTTCCTTCACCATTCTCACCTTCTTCTTCTTCTTCTTTGTCTTCTTCTTCATCTTCTTCTTCTTCTTTGTCTTCTTCTTCTTCGTCTTCTTCTTCTTCTTCTTCGTCTTCTTCTCTTTGAACAACTATTGCTTCGACAACTTTTTCCATTATAAAGCATCTAAACTCACCAATGGGATCATCACAAGAAGGGCATATGTTCATCATCTTAGTACAACACGACGAACACGCGACATGTCCACTGTCACACTGAGATTCAAAACCACACAGTTAGTTAAGTAGCAATGCCTTTTCACTAAGTATAACTTGTCAACCACACAGTCGTCAAGATTAAATCAGATTCACCAAATATATCATAAGCTTACACAATCTGAAACAGATCATTTCACCAAGTTTGCAATTCAATCAAATAGAAACAAAATTTTAACATAAAGGCACTAAGGCAGAAACTTTCTAACTAAATCACTGAAGCTAGGGTTCCAAAACGTTAAAGAAAGGAGAAAAGTGGTGGAAGTAAGAAGAAAATACCCGAAAGATAGGTTTCGTGAGTGAGTCAAAGCAAACAGGACAATCGAGAAGTTCGAGGTCCAACAATGTCCCAGATCTTGCCACCACATCTCCTCCACTGTTCTCGCCTTCCTCTTCTTCTTCTTCAACAAGTCGTTGCCTCTTTCGGCGGCTGCTCGTCGCTTCTCCGGCCATAGCTATCGGAACCCTAATTCGCCTTTTCTATCGTCCCGCCTTGAACGTTTGTAGAGGTTTTCAGAATCTGTGGTGGAGCCGTGGAGGTTATTTTTTCTAACTTTTTAACATTTACAGTTTTTACTTTTTTACTCCATATACAAGGTGATTTTTTTTATAAAACGAGAGGCTCTGTAACAGTAAAAATGTCATACACATAGCTTCAAAGAGTCATGAAAATTTGCATATATGACGAAATAAAGTTGCTGTAGAAAACATCAGAAATGTATTTAGAAGGTACGAAGAAGTTATGAACAGAACGACCTATGGTATGATGATTATTACTCTTCTTCATCATCTTCTTCTTCTTCTTCATCAGCTTTTTCTTCATCTTTTTTTAGCCGGCGGATGCAGATCTTCATTTTCAGATAATCTCTCGTACCTTGGAAATAGTTAGGGACCAACAAGAAGCTCTTCTCAGGAATTTGGAAGCTCAATTTCTGAATCCTATCCATCTCTCCCTTTTCAATCAAAATAGTTTCATGTCCATACGAGTATGAGAGAATATAGGAGAACTTCCCAACTCCTGGAGCATTAGGTGCTATACAATTCACAGTTACGTACACTCCTTGTGGCTCCTTAAGACATTGAACCACAACCAAGGGACCATCTCCAGATTCCTGAAGGACTAAAACCTTATCACTTAAGAGTAGCCATGCGCTGGTGTAACTGCCACACTTAAACTGATTCCATGAGTCGTCGTGTTTAGCATAGTAGTGAGCATAGAGATCCTTGTACACACCGCTGTAGTTGCAGTTTGGTGCAGGACAGTGGCACAGAACGAAACTGCATTTCTTTTCATGGTCTGATTCTTTGACATAAGAAAACTTCTCGGTACAACCATGTTTGGCATTTGGGCATTGAACAATGGCTGCTTCAACAATCTTCTCCATTATTCTAGATCGAACGTTCCCAACTGGCAAGGTGCAAACAGGGCATTGGTTCCTCATTTTAGTACAGCAAGATGAACAAGCTATGTGTCCATTGTCACACTGAAATTACAGAAAAATCACAAGACTTAGCTACTCTGATTACAAAGCCACTGGAACTAGAACCAGATACAAACTTACACAAATCAAAAACTGGTCATTTATATGTTATCTAGGAAGGAACAGTCATCTATAATGATTCTTAAAGCAGTGTACTCACAGAACTCATTTGCTATTCAATCAAAATGAAAAAAGCGGTCTTTTCGAATCATCATATGTACACAGTTAACAAAACTAACATATTCAAGGCATGTATTTGAAGCTAATCCTTATAATCATCCTACAAGTCTCACATATATGCTAGTAAACAACATCCTCCTAACGCAACAATTTCACCAAAATCATCCTTAAATCCCAAATCACAACAGTTTTTCAAAACTCTGAATCAAACCCAGAAGAAAGAACAGTGCCTCTTTGCGAATCATCATATGTACACTAATTCACAAAATTAACATCTTCAAGGCATGGATTTGAAGCGATTCAATGTAGCCATACAAGTCTCACACATATGCTACTAAACAACATCTCCCTAAAGCAACAATTCAACTAAAATCATCCATAAAACCTAAGATCACAAACTCTGAATCAAACCCAGGAGAAAGAACAGTGCGTGAAGTAAGAAACAAGACCTGAAAGATAGGAGCGGTGAGTGCGTGACAACAAACGGGACAATCGAGGAGATCTAGCTCGAACAAAGTCACAGATCGAGTCACATCTCCTCCTCCACCACCATTCTCAGCTTCTCCTCCTCCTTCAGTAGCAACGGAGGGAACTCGTTGCCTCTTCCGACGGCTGCTCGAAGCTTCTCCAACCATTCTTCTCGGCTATTGGATTCGCTTCGCCGCTACTTTTGTGAAAACACAGATTGATTAAAAACTGAAAACCCTAAATCCCTAATTCGCCCCTTTTTGTATCTTCCCGCCTGAGAAACGTTTTCAGAAATTTTTCAGAATCTGTGGTGGAGGTTTAACTCTGTATCATTTTTACAGTTTACTTCCATATATCATTTTTTAATAAATATTTTGGATTTTTAATTGAAACAAATTAACAAATTGATTATTAAATAATTAAATGAAATGGACTAGTTTAATTGTAAAGTATCAAAAAAAAAAAGTATCCCAAATAATAACATAAAAGAGTAGAAAACATAGGCTTGGTTGTGATTATTAAAAATTTAAAGAGTAATAAACATTAAGTTAGGGTGTGAATACTAAATAAGTTAGTCAAATATATTGCTTATACTTTGTTATATATATCTAATAATATTGGTTTAGCCGAAATAAAATTATATATCCAAAAATATTGGTTAACCTGGAATAAAATTATACATCGAAAACTATGTAGTTATAAATGTATACACAAAAATATCAAATAACAAAGTATTCAAATTACCAAATCTAATTATATTTGTTTAAAATTATACAATCGTTTTCAAAATGTAACCATATTATATTTAGTTAACTATATTGGTTACCGTTAATTTCATGATTAAACTATACTACATAGTGCTGGTAGAGAAAGCAGAACCAATTCTCGTCTTCTTGGTTCCTTTCCGATATAAATGAACTTTCTCAGTCTAGCAAATCCAATTATCACCTAATGGTTTACCAAAAGCAAGTTTGAGTCAAAACAAATAATAACCAAAACATTCATCAACGGACTATGGTATTGGTAGAGTAAGAATATGATTCGAGTAGCCCATCCCAATATTAACATGGGTGGTCATGTGTTCCCATTGATTCTAAAACATAGACATTGCTCAAAGACCAAACATAAACATAAGTATAAGATATGGTTGAAGTAAAAAATCAGCATCGTCTAAAACAATGACAGACATCGAAATGGACTTTGAACAAAACGTCTTTCAGTGGATATAATATGATGATTATTACTCTTCTTCATCATAATCATCATCATCTTCATCTTCTTCTTCATCTTCATCTTCATCTTCTTCTTCATCCGCTTCTTCTTCATATTTTTCTAGCTTGTGTATGCAAATTTCCATCTTTAACGCTGACTGCTCACCCAAGAAATAATAAGGAACTAACATGAAGTCCTTCTCCGGAGTCTCGAAACTCACTTTCTGAATCCTATTCATCTCTGGCGATTTAAACGTCATAGTGTTACCTCCCATCGGCATCTTGTACGAGAGTTTATAGGAGTATTCCCCAACTCCTGGAACAGAAGGTGCTATACAGTTCACAGTCACATACACTCCTTGTGGCTCCTTAAAACACTGAACCGCAACCAATGGACCACCTCTATATTCCTGAAGTACCAAAAGCTTCTCACTCATCCGCAGCCACGCACCAGTAGAATTCCCACACCCGAACAGATTCCACGAGTTGTCGTGGTTAGCGTAAAAGTGACTATAGAGATCCTTGTACATGCCTGTGTAGTTACAGTTTGGTGCAGGACAATAGCAGAGAGAAAAATTGCAATCCTTTTCATGGACTAGTTCTTTGCCATAAGAGAACTTCTCTGTGCAACCATGTTTAGCGTTTGGGCATGGGACAAAGACTGCTTCCAGAACTCTCTCCATTATTCTAGATCGATAGTTACCAATGGGTAAAGCGCAGGACGGGCATTTATTCCTCAGCTTAGCACAGCAAGAAGAGCAAGCAATATGTCCATTGTCACACTGAAACACCAATTCACAGAGTTAAGAGTTAGTTTATTCGGATTTACAAGTCCATGAAACTTAAACCAAATACAAGATTATACAAATCCAAAAATGGTGATTCAAATGTTACCTAGGAAGAAACAGTCATCTATACTCACAAAACTCATTTGCTATTGGATCAAAACGAAAAATGCGGTCTTTGCAACATTGAAGCAGTATACATTTCAGAGACTCACAAAAATAACATCTTTAAGGCATGGCTTTGAAGCTAATCACTGTAATCCTACAAGTCTCACGCATATGCTAAGAAAATGAAAGCTTTCTAATTCCACTTTTTCTAATTCCACATTTTCACTAAAAGCTTTATACAAACTAGAACCAAATAGAAGATTATACAAATCCAAAACTGTAATGTTTCTTGAACCAGTCTATACTCACAGAACTCATTTGGTATCCAATCAAAACGAAAAAAGGCGGTCTTTACGAATCTTGAAGCAGTCTACATTTCAGTGACTGTAATCGAATTAGCATCTTTTAAGGCATGGATTTGAAGCTAATCAATCTAATTCTACAAGTCTCACACTGTCACACATATGCTAAGTAAATGAAAGCTTCTTAATTCAGCAATTTCACCAAAATCATTCATAAACCCTAAAATCACAACAGTTTTCAAAACTCTGAATCAAACCCAGAGGAGAAAAAAGGAACAGTGCGAGAATGAGTTAGGAAGAGGTAAGAACCTGGAAGATAGGAATGGTGAGTGCGTGACAGCAAATAGGACAATCGAGGAGATCTAGCTCCATTAAGGTCCCAGATCGTGCGACTTCTTCTCCGGCCATAGCTATCGGAATCTGGAGGAATCAAGTCTGGGTATCGATCGGATTCGTTTCGCTACTTTTGTAAACAGTGATGATAATAACCAAAATAGGAACTTTCACTGGAGCTAGTGACGAAGGAAGAAGAACCAAATAGGTTGATGATGAGGAAGACGAAGACAAATTGGATTTTCATTATTATTATTTTAATTATTATTTTTTGTAAAAGCGCCATTGTACGTAATGGGTGAAGGAGAGAGTACAGTAAACCAAAACTAAACCAGTGCATTAACCAATGTTTGATTAAACCGATATTCTTGAAGCAGTCCCCGTTTTCAATTTTCCCGCCATAACGTTTTCTCAAACGTTGACTTATATGTTGAAGACTTTCAGAGCATTGTACCGATCAAAAATTTTAACCCTTTTTTCTTCGTTTCTTTTACCAATCAAGCTTTTTTTAACTTTTACTTTTTGTTTAAATGTTACATTCGTTGGGATGAACAGATCCGTTAGCGGTTTAGTTTACTCTATTTTTAGTACGAACAATAAACCATGGCGGATCTATTTATATTTGTACATAAAGACGGTCTGTAATTGGTGTGCATCGATTTTTTTTGTTTTCTTAAAAACTGCACTACTACAGATATAGTTAATGAATAGTAAATAAAAAATGATTTGGTCTATAGATATTTTTGCGTGCTTGAACCGCTGTAACCATTCGAGCCCTAAATTTTATACCCATTTTTAATCCAAATTTTTTATCTACAAATGTTTATTTTTGTTTTTGTTTCATATATATTTATGTTTCTCAACATCTTAATGGAAGATTAGTTATGTATTTTATATTCTTTTATCTATTAGCAATCATATTCAATAACCTATAGATTTACACATTTTTAGAATTCGGAATTTAGCGAGTCGAAGACACTTAATAAATATTTTCCTAAATCGGTTTTTACACACCAAATTCAAGAACGAATTAGCGAAGTGAACTTACTAAACAAAATGCAAGAAAGCAAGCAAAAAAAGAAAAATCTATTTATTTCATTTGCATATCATATTCAAATTTTAAAGCCACGAACAAAGAGAAGTATGAGTAGTTTCGACAGTTAGAGATAAAAACAAATATTGAGTAAAACAATAAGGCCATAAAAGAGTTTTAGACTTTAGAGATAGAGTTCATTGGTGAAAGCATACACCGAAAAAACAAACATAGGAACTAAAGTTATATATGAACGCAACAAACATACTACAACATATATGAAATGATAATTATTAATCCTCTTCTTCGTCTTCATCCTCATCCTCATCATTTTCTTCCTCGACATCTTTTCTTAACCCGCGAATGCGAATTTCCAACTTCACTACCGAGCGTTTATCTAAGGCATAATAAGGAATAACCATATAGTTCACCACAGGAGCTTCAAAACTCACCCTTTGAATCTTAGTCATCTCGTCGGTTTCATACGTAAACTCTTCATTTCCCCACCGGTAGATAAGATCATAGCCCAATTCCCAAACATCTGGAACGGAATATGTCATTAAATTGACAGCCACATACAATCCATGTGCTCCCTTGAAACATTGAAGAACAAGCAATTCTTCATTATCACATTCCTGAAGGACTAAAACCTTCTCCTCGATGTTTAACCATGCGTCAGCGTACTGGCCAGTCTTGTACCTTGAGCAACTAGCCTTGTGGCAAGCAGTGTAATGACAGTAGAGATCTAGTTGGAAAGCGGAGTGGTTGCAGTTTTTTGCTGGACAATAGCACACATAAAGGTCACAAATCTTCTCATGGTCGGCTAACTCTTTCCCATGAGGGTATCTCTCGGGGCAACCATGCTTGGCGTTTCGGCATGGGACAAGGACTGCCTCCAGAAGTCTCTCCGCTATTCTAGACCGATTGTTACCAATGGTCAAAGAGCATGAAGGGCATTTATTCCTTAGCTTGGGATGACAAGACGAGCACACTAAATGCCCATTTACACACTGAGATGTAAAACACAGAGTTAGATAACACTATCAAAGCTGTATAGAGAAGAGAAACACTAACAAAAATATAAATTTAACTAAGCCAAAACAATCGTCCATCGTATGAGACTTCTTGTCCTATATGAAGTTTCCTTTACCAAAACTTCTTGTCCTAAAATGAAACTTCTTGTTCTATACATCGTGTCTTTGCTAAAATACTCAAAATTAAGACGATGATACTTGATATCGACAAAAAGAGTTGTGAAAGGAAGTAACATATCTAAGGGATTAGAAGAAATATTTTGTTTAAAAAAAAAAAAAAAAAACTTCTTGTATCTATACGAATCACTATTACACTAATCATTGCTATATCCTAAAGTCTCATGTATATCAACAAAAACTCATCTTTGTAGGACTCGTAAAGCAGTGCAATAATAAACCAGGAAGAAGAGATACCTGAAAGATAGGACTGGTCAGTGGGTGGCAGCAAATCGGACAATCCAAAAGATCAAGCTCGAGTAGTGTCCCAGTATGTATCATGTCATCATCAGTATTATCCATGAAGATTAGTCTTTGCCTCTTTCGGCGGCTGCTCAATGCTTCTCCAGCGTTATCCATTTCTATCAGAGTATGTATATGAGATGTGGTGGTGGAGGCTCTTACATGTTCAGAGGCTTTATATATACATCGAGAAGAAAGGGTGCAGTGACATAAACCCTTCTTTCCTTACATGCAGTTATTTTTTTCTAAGTTTAATTTAGATTCTGTGGTTGACTAAATTTCTAAGTTCACTCTATCTTATCTGAACAGTATAATGTAAAATTAATTTAGATTAGTTTCTCTTTTTGGGGAATTTCAAAATACAATTTTTCCAATACAATTTTTCAAAAGATGCCTTAAATTTTTTAATTAAAAATGCCACTAAAACTCTAATATTTATCTAAATATGTGTGTAACTATAAACTTATCAAAACATACACCAACTAAATTAAAAAAATCTTATAATAGTTGGACCTAGTTTCCGAGTATTAGTTACTATCTAGAAATATTTTATAAACCTTATTAAACTCTATAAATTTTCAGATTTAATATAAGATATTTTTTAAGATTGAATATATGAGTATCTTTGAAAATGGATACAACAAAAAGGTATATTTATCAAAACAAATTCATTTTTAGTGTAAAATTAATTTTGTATTTCATATTTTTTCCATACCAGTTAAATTCAAGAAAATATATAATTTAAGGTAGATCTTATTTTAATTATTTGGAATCGAACGAGTTGAAGCATTTCATAGAAATTTCATAAACAATTTCCCGAATTCTTCTTTACACACCAAACACTATAAAATCTAAGCTAGGTCTGTTCTTTTTACATGCAATGTTTTCTTTTTAAGTTTAGAGATTTTTGTGGAGGAAAAAAATTGTAATGCTATCACTAGATCTTATCTTGAGCTCATCATTTACACAATTTTGTTTATATTAGTGACTTTAAAGGCTTCGTAGGCCCAACAACTAATCTTAAGGTCGGGGAAACCATGTTAATTGCTAAAACTCCGGTGACCAATGCTGAACGAACCCATGTAGCGAGAATATTTACATTTTTGTTTCATACACTAGATTTTAACACACGGTACACTGCGGGATAAATATTTTCTTTTTAATTCATGTTTTAAAAATTTATGATTTTGTTGGAGTTTATTTAATAATTATTAAGAGTACAAAACATCAATCTTTATTAGATCAGTTTAGTTATACATGATCTAATAAAGTAATTTTCTTAATTAACCTAACATGACCAATCAAAAGTTGTCAACGGATCATAGTTATATCATAATTAAGCTCCAACCAAAATAATTTCATAAACAAACTTTTTAAGTCGTGAATTGTAGTAACGGTTCATTTTTCATAAATACAATTGCACACATAATCGTGACGTGTACAAAGCTTGAATTTTGTTTTTGATTTTTTTTTTTGATTTTTTTTTAAATAACGAAATGGGCGGTTATTTCTTCCTTTTGAAATTTGAAACTTTCCTATAAAAAAGAAATCAAAATCGACCCGTTCAAAGAAGAAAACCATTTTACAAGTCTCTCCCTCTCTCTCTGTGTTTTGAAACCCTAAATTGAATTCTCCATTTCGAAAAATGTCTGTAGAAGAGAAGTACCGATGCTCTTAATTCCCGGCGATTAGGATTTTGTAAAGAGCGTTCTCTCAGTTCTCGTCGATTTCTAAGGTCAGTTACATAAGATCGATCAAACATTTGGAATCCCAGATTCAATTCGAGTCAAATTTGATGATTCTGATCCTTTATTCCCGATTTGTGTTTCTCTGTTTCTTGATTCGATTACTGTTATTTCTTTTCTAACCCCGGAAGCGGCGAAATCGATTTTGTCATTTTCATCGTGTTTTTTTCTCTTCTTTTTCAATTCTGTATTCGATAGCCTTTGTGATTTCGTTTTGATTTCGTTTTGACAGATCGTTAACGATCGCGAGACTGGAAAGATGCTAAATCCGATGAGGGATGTGATCGAAGAGATTTAATTCGCCAGAGCATCACCGTCAATGAGGAAGCGGCGGTTACGGAGGTTTGCTGGAATTTTTTAATCGGATTGATTGGTTTTTTTTTTTCCTCCACCGTTTCGAATGAATCGATCTGTTACCAAAAGTTCTTGTACCGATCGTAAATATAATAAATCCGAATTTGAATGTTAACGATCGGGTGATTTCTAGGATTTGTTTGTGTTTTCTAAAACTATGCAGGAAGCGTAGAGTTGAATGGAGTTTGGATCTTCTAGAACTATGCAATATGCATTTCTCAATGAAGAACTTAAGACTGGTGAGTTTTTTCCTACGAATAAAACCAAAGAATTAGTGGTGATTATATAATATCAGTGGTACACGAATATGGAGTTTTCATCTTCCAAGTTGTGTAGACATTAATAATTAGCCTTTGCATATTAGCTTGACAACTTCTGTAATGGATCAATCTTTTGAACCATAAACTGTTTTTTTCTTTCTCTTTCAGCCAAGTGGACTTCTATGAAATGCAATGGAGAGTTTTACTATCCCTCGTAAGTTTTCAGGTTAGTCGATTTCATTCAAACTTTCAGATTTTGTTATACTGTAGTTGTATCGAACTTGCTTATATTTATCCAAATGATGATGAATAGTTTACTAGGCACTTTTGGACTTTCCAAAACTTAGTGATGGCACTGAAGCAATCAAGTCATGTTCTCTGACACTCTCAAAGCTTCATTTCTTGTTTATGAGTTAAGGTATGTTTTCGACACATGACCATGATTGATAGCATGTACATATATATATATGATCGGTCCACATTAGTTTTGTTTTGTTTCATAAGTGCAGGACAAGTCGTAAACCTCAAAACCAGAGAACTTTGTATGCATTGATGCATACACACATCCATAAATGCATACATAGATACATGTATTCATTCATGCATACATACATACATACATACATACATACAAACATTTGTACATACATACATGTATTCATTCATGCATACATACATACATTCATTCATACATACATACATACATACATGCATACATATATGCATACATACACTGCACACATTCATTACTTCCCTGTTTTTTCATTCTTTGTCTATTATTCTGAATGCTCGCTGCCTTGTGTGCTCGCTACCTTCCTTGATTATTTGTTTAGTATTTTCTTGCTTCCTTGTTTGTTTGCTTCCTTGTTAACATGCTTGACTTGCTTCCTTGCTTGCGTGCTTAATTTCTTACATAACATGTTTCTTCCCTGTTTTTTCCATTCTTTGTCTGTTACTCTGATTTTATGCGTACTTATTCTCTTTTTCTTGTTTCCTTGCTTACTTGGCCCTTGCTTGCTTCCTTCCGTCTTTCATATCCTTAGTCATAGTTTCATTGGTTTTTTTTTTCTCACTTCCTTGTGTGCTCGCTGCCTTCCATGATTATTTGTTTAGTATTTTCTTGCTTCCTTGTTTGTTTGTTCCCTTGTTAACATGCTTGACTTGATTCCTTGCTTGCGTGCTTAATTTTCCTTGCTTGCGTGCTTAATTTCTTACATAACATGTTTCTTCCTTAGCTACTCCTATCTTTTTCCTTAACTTGCTTGCTTATTTGCATTCAGAAACTGTCTCAATTTATCTTCTAATCAAATATGTATGTTGTGTTAGATAGTGCTATGTTACCGTTCCAATCATCACAGGGAGACTCGTGAGCGTCTGTCAAGGAAAAGTCCTCATCGTCATTAATGTCAGTACCACATAGACCGTTCCTTGATACCAGCCTCAGTGAATAAAACTAAGAAAGAATAAAGTTCTATGATCACTCTTCTCTCTTTATTTTCCTTTTTCATTAGCTTACTCTAGAGATTTTACATGTATATGTACCAAGAGTTATACAAGGTGATCTTGTTTGTATCCAAAATATTTATTGGTTCGTTTAAATTGTTCAGGGTTTTGGTACTAGGCGTTGACTTGCAACCAGATCTAAAGTCTAGACCATAAGCCAGCCACGAAATCCCCCTTGTAAGTTGTCATTTATTTGATCTCACAATTTTTTGATGGTGTTTGTTAATCTATGTATACATTTTCACTTATTGTACACTATTTCAATTGTATACCGTTTTGGAACTTGCAGATTAAAGCACTTCACTCCGTTGCAAAGCAAGAAACAGACTTGTGGTAATTCGATAAAACATATTGGGGTCTGGTGTTGTACTTACATAGTAAGTTTTTGTTCTGTTCTCAAATCACATGCATTTATTGTCATGTATTTCTCAGAAATCATTATGCTTATTTCAGGTCTTTTGCAATGGACTTTAGAGACATAACTATCTTACGTTTCATAAGTTGATTTCTTCTTCCAAGTGTAATGCTCTAATTTCAGCTTAATCATTTGATTTTGCTTAGTTTGAAGTAAATTTCTCTTTTCTTCTTTTGCAGTAGAAGATTATATGCTCTATGTGGTCATGTGAATCCTCATAAACGAAAAACATTCTATATGATGGATCAGTATGAGAAACTACTAACTAAATTCCATTGGCTTATTTTTAGGAAAATAGTCCTCCTTGATGTTGATGGTTCTTTTTCCATACAAGATTATTTAGACATTGTTTCGTCGTTTCTGGAGAGTGAAATATTACATCGGGACTTACTTCAATATGGTATGTTAATTCTAATCCTAACAAGTCATTGTAACATGTTGATGGTTCTTTTTCCAAACAAAAAGACATTGTTTCCTTGTTTTTACCCGAAGTTATACTTGCTTTCTTCAAATTATTATTGTGAAAATACGCAGATGAAAAAATGATGGAGAGTGAGAAATTACATGATTGACTTCAATATGGTATGTTTAATCTAATTTTAACAAGTCTTTGTATCACTTTTGTGTTCAGGATCTTTGTTTTTCTCTTTTTGCACCAAGATTGATGGTTAACCTCCGTTATATCTGTCATAGATGGTGGTTTCTTAGCTGGAAAAGTTCTCAGATGATTAGTGTTGCTGTTAAGGGCGTAGCTTGTTTGACATGTGAGTTTCTCTATTCATAGCAGAGTGCTTTACAATTTCCTTCCTCAACATTTCTTCTACAACTGTTAGTTGCTGCAAGTTAGCCATTTGTCTCCTCTTTTTATCAAGGAGATTTGGTGAGCCCGTTTCCCTTAAACTTACAAGTTACAACCAATCTATTTTTAAAAACAGGCATATCAAGGTTTGTTATAAGTGATGCTGGCTAAATCACTTGTTGTAAGACTACACGGAAACTTAAAGAGTATGGTCAAAGGTTTATTGTAGCGGCCAGAAGGAACGGAAAACATGTTCAAATCCATGGTATGCTTCTAATTTGTGTTTCTATAAACACAATATGCCCTTGATCACATTTTTGGTGTCTAAATTTTAAATTTCACATTTCCAAAACTTCGCCTTTCTCTCACAACATGCTTGATATATATAAGCAATGTGTCTACATGTGTGAGAGACATTTGAGGTTATGTAGTAGCGAGATTTCAACATTTGAATTTGTGTTTTGCTTATGCGGGTTCTTGTCCTCTTTTTTAAAAAGTCATGTTGGTATAATACAGGTAAGACTTCTGTGGGAGATGCTCATCAACCATGTGGCCCGGAGGTTGTCAAGTCTGTACTCTGTGATGCATGAGAAATATGAAACTCTTGATAAAACATCCAAGAGATTTGCTAACAATTTTAAAAGTGGTCTAGATTTCAGTATCGGTATTGTCATACATCTTCTCTTAATTCTCAGATTAAGGAACGTAAAAAGAAAAAATATGAAGCTGGCTATGGCAGCATTCAAGAGTACAAATTCAACTCAACTGACATATGTTCTCATAAAAGTTTATGAATGCTTATGTACTGATTGTTCTTGGTTTCTGTATTCCAGGTTTAGCCCGTGGAATGATACAAAAATATCTTATGATATTTTGGTTGAATATGAAGACAATGATAGATGATATATGGATGTGGAGTTGCATGGCCATAGCGAGGCGTTCTGTGAGTTAAAATCTAAGGTATCCGCTTTGAGGTTGGTTATTATTTTATACATGTTTTGGCAATATGTGTTTAGATCTAGCTATCCAATTTGTTCACATAATAGATCTAATGATAATATGAACTAGAGTCATATTGAAGTGAATTTATCACATGATGAGCAGCTTGACGTAATCGTGATAAACAGAGTTTTATGTGGAAAGACGTCTAATCATCCGTGAATGAAAGAAACCTATAAGGAAGTCAAGAACCATATCAGTAAGCTGCCCATGAACTGCCCTAAATCTTTGCATACTTGTAAGTCATCATCTTCTTTATCTTAAGAAACCTCTAGAATTAATCGTTTCTTCAATTATCGTAATGTTGATATTGATTGGTCCTCTTGTTAGACTAATCCTCTTCCATTTGTAAGTTATGAAAACAAAACATATGTAGTTTCAAAAAGAAGTGAAGAACCAGATAAGGAAACCGATCAGTATGCTGGCTAGGAAACAAATCAGACGGTCGATTTCTGAACTCAAATTCTAATTTCATAAGTTCAATCATTTTCTCAAGTTTGTATATAATCGATTTTTCTGTTTAGTATTTCAACATTTTCTTAAAGCTTGACGCTATTGTCTCTTTTGTTTATATGAAGTAGCAGACATTAGCCAATGGACTCTGTGAACATATTTTTGAAACAAGTGAAAACTCTTTAGTGAGTGACCAGGTATGGACCAACTACTTATATCAATATTGTTCCTTGGTTTCCTCTGATAGTGTTATCTCGATTGATATCTTGAATCTCCCATTCATACATTCATGCATACATTCATGCATACATGCATACAATCTCCCATTCATACATTCATGCATACATTCATGCATACATGCATGTGTTCATTCATGCATACAATCATACATTCATGCATACATTCATACATTCATACATACATTCATACATTCATGCATACATACATTCATGCATGTGTGCAGACAGACATCATATGTTCATGCATATTAGCTTAAGTTCATTGGTCATTTGCTTGCTACTTTACTTGCTTATTTATTTGCTTCATTTGCTTGCTTTCCTCCCTTTCTAGTTTGTTTCTTTGATCTTGGCTTTACACATTGCATAACTTGTTTTTTTTCTTTCTTCTTTGCTTATTTGATTCTTTGTTTCAATACTTCATTACTTTTTCACACCATTTATATATCTGAACCTGTTTCCTTGGTTGATGCTTTATGTGTTTCTTTGATATTTGTTTACTCAATTTATTCATTCATTGATTAACTTCTTTGGTTTCCTTACTTCCGTCAATGTTTGCTTACATGCTTAACTTATTTACATGTTTTATAGCTTCTATCATTGTTTGTTTACAACCTTAATGTGTCCTCTCGCAACCTTCTTTGCTTTCCTTGCTTACGTATTTCATTCATTGCTTCTTTACTAATGTTTCGTTGCTTAAGTATTTAAACTTTAAAGAATACTTTAATCTAATTAATTAAATAAAAGGACACTCGAATTTGTGTGATATGCCAAATAATATGATATATCGATTTTGTTTTTGATATACAAATGTTGATTTATTAATTTAATTAAATTACAGTAATTAGTATTTGATATTTTATATTAATTAATAGATATGCTAAATCTTTAACTCGTTATAATATAAATAAAACTAAGTTGTATATTTATAAGAATTTTGTAATGGCAATGTATTGTAGTTAAGTAAATTTTTGTTAGGTTGTGTACCTTTCTACTATATTAATTGAGAAGTTCATTAATGAAAATAACTTTATAAATATAAGAAATTACATTCAAATGCCATAAGAAAAAGTTTTAAAATGAAAAAAAAAAATCGTAAAATAATCATCCTACTATATTAATTGTAAAGTACACAAATAAAAATAACCCTATAAATTAGAAGAAATTACATTGAAATGCCATTAGAAAAAGTTTTAAAATGAAAACAAAACACTAAGGGTAATAAAGATAATTAAACAAATAGTCAAATAAATTAAATAAATAAAATTGCAAGATAATCTATAAACTATAATAAAATCGTAAAATAATCACACAAATATAATCATTTACATTAACATATACGAGATACATATTTATTCAGTTAAATTATATCAAATTCAGTTAAATAATAACAAATTAAGTTACTAACAATAACTGAATTACATTACGGTTCGGCTCGCTTCGGGTATCATGTTTTTCGGTTATTTTTTTGGGTTAGCAAAATTAACTAAGTATTTTAGAGTTTTTGTTAGTTTAGTTAAATCGGGTCGATTGATTAATTCTGGTAGTTTTGGTTTAACTGTAATTTCGGATAAAGTAATATGGGTAATTTCGGGTAATGCGGGTAATTCAGTTAAATTTTGGTAACCAATTGGTATGACAAACCAAACCGAATAAACCAGTAACCAATAATAGGAAATTATAATCTATTCCGGCCGGTTATCTTTTCTTAATTTCGGTTTTCAGTTCAGTTTGGAATTTTTGGTTAGGGTACTATTCCCATGGCTAGATTTAGTAATATATGTATTGCCATCTAACAACGAAACATTTCCTTACATTATTATTATTATTATCATCTTAAGCAAAATATCGGCTGGAGTATTTTTTTTAAAAGGCGTCGTAGTGTAATCGAACATAAGTGCTGCTTAGGGTCGGCCCGGGGCTAAAGCCCATGAAACGTACGCTTTAGGCATCAAAAATATATAGATGTTCTAGTTTAGTGGTCAAGTGCTTAGTTTCAAGGTCCAAAATTGTTGGTTCGAACCCTTGAAAACGTAGATTGGGTTATTTTTACAGATTAATTATGCCTCTAAATGGACTTTAAATTTTTAATTTGCTTGAGGCAGCAAATATGTTCGGCCGGGCCAGCTAGATAGATTTGCTTTAGGCAGCACTGCTGGTAGATAGATTTGTAATATATATGCCTACAACACAAAGGCGATAGACATATATGTAAAGTAGTAGATTAGACGTCGGTCCGAAAGTTCTCGAGGCAATGTTTTTGGTCCAAATTCCTACTCCAAAACTTCTTGTAATACTCTGCGTAAGTGAAGTCTCTGTAGATTGTCTTCGTTTCGCTGTCCTCGGCTTCCCACAAGGGTTTGGCCGGGCTCATGACAGCACAGTCAGCTAGGCATAGAAACGACGCGACGGACAGTCTTGGGTTTTCCGTGTTTGTCACAGCTCGATGCCAAACACTTTTGTATACTTCGTTACTCAATGCCTGAAAACACATATTTTTAATTTTAAGATTTTTAATTCCTGATAAACATTAGATCTAGATGGATTCACTTGACAAACATTATCTATTTTTAAAAAGCATCGTGTCAATTCACTTATTCATTTGATAAAATAAAATTCACGTTATAAGATTTTAAAAAGTTTTTATTATTTTAAAAGGATTTTAGGTATATATGATAATTATAAGAGAAATACCGTCAAATAATTGAAATAACTAAAATAAATAATCGAAAAGTTTTAAACACTCTTCCCATTTTTATGAGGTCGGAACTGTAAGATTGATACGGCAGAAACCATCCATTCTAAAGTTTTAAAATTATGGGCACAATAGAAACACTAGCCTAATTATTAGAGAACAAAGAGAAGTATAACTAGAATCGATGGTAAGAGAAAGAAACAAACATTAAGTTAAACAAAAAGGCCATAAAAGATTTTTAGGCCGGGGAGTTTAGAGATAGAGCCCATGGGTGAAAGAAGCAGCAACAACAACAACAAAAAATCATCAGAAATACATTACTAGCTAGGCCACTGAATATGAACTCAACAACCTACTACAACAGATATGATATGATAGTAATATGAACTCAACAACCTAGTACAACAGATATGATATGATAGTAATATGAACTCAACAACCTACTACAACAGATATGATATGATAGTAATATTACTCCTCTGCGTCTTCATTTTCATTATCATCATCTTTTTCCTCCTCAGGTTCTTTTTTGTCGATTTCTTCCTCCTCGTATCCTATTTCGCGAATGCGAATTTCCATCTTCACTACCAAGCGTTCATCCAGGACACTATAAGGAATAAACATGTAGTTCAGCACAGGAGCTTCAAAACTCAATCTTAGAATCCTAGTCATCTCGTCGCATTCATAATAAGTTGTTCATAACCCCTCCGTTAGATGAGATCATAGCCAAATTTCAAATCTCTAGGAGTAGAAGGAGCTGCGAGTAAGTTGACGGTCACATATAACCCATCTCCCCCCTTATAGGACTGAAGAATAACCAATGGACCATGATGATATTCCTGAAGGATTAACATCGTCACGTTGATGTTTACATGTATGTCAACGTCAACGTATTGGCCATTCGTGAACCTTGATGAGTAATTATCCTTGTGCCAAACAGTGAAATGATAGTAGAACCGCAATCATCTCGATGCACTAACTCTTTTCCATAGGAGAACTTCTCTGGGCATCCATGCTTGGCGTTTGGGCATGGGAGAATGACTGCTTCCACAAGTTTCTCCAGTATTCGACATCCATAGATACCAATTGACAAAGTGCAAGAAGTGCATTTATTCCTCATCAGCGTAATACAACAAGAAGAGCAAGCTATATGTCCATTTTCACACTGAAAAGTAAAACTTAGTTATTTAATATTATCAAAGTTGTAGAGAAAAGAAACTAAGCCAATGTAGACAAGATTAAATTTTAACAAAATCATCCTTCTCAGACTAGTAAGTAGTGAAATTATTAATTTTTACAACCAAACCAATTATAAACCAAGAAGAAGAGAGAGAGAGAGAGAGACCTGAAAGATAGGACTCGTCAATGGATGGCAGCAAAGGAGATGGTCAAGAAGATCAAAGTCGAATAGTATCAAAGACCATCCCATCACGTCAACACTTGAGATTAGTCTTTGCCTCTTTGGTCGGCGGTTGCGGCGTTATCCATTCCTATCTAAGTATATAAGAGATGTGGTGGTGTTGGTGGTGGTCTGGTGGAGGCTTATACACGTGCTTTGCTACTTATATACACATACAGAAAAGAAACGATGTCGTGCATTAAACCATTTTTTTCTTACATGCAATGATTTTTTTTTCCAAGTTTAAATCTTTGACTATGACTATATTTTATCTTTTTTCCTTACATGCAATGATTTTTTTCTATGTTTAGATCTTTGACTATGACTATGTCTTATCTTCATTTCCTTACATGCAATGATTTTTTTTTCTAAGTTTAGATCTTTGACTATGACTATATCTTATCTGAACAAAATTATATACAATTAATTTTTAGATTAGTTTCTCATTTTGGATTAATTTCAAAATACAATTTTATCAATAACTAGGATATACCCCGTGGTATACCACGGGTCTATAACTTGATATATTTGTTTGGTTGATCATTTTCGTAGTTGGTATATATAGTCTAGTTTTATAAGTGTGTCTTTTATTTTAATTTTATATAATTTTTTGAATTTATATTATAAGTAGATTCATATATATATGTGGTCAACCCGCGATACACCGCGAGACAATTTTGTTGTAAATAAAAAATTATATTTTAACTTAACCCGTAAAAAATTTTAAATATAGACAATCCGTAATAAAAATATAATCATATTTATGTATACTCAAACCCGTTCAATCATATTTACGTACAATTTTATTATATTTTTAGAGTTCAAATATTAATAATACTTTAAAATTTTGTAGAGTTCAATTTTAATATTTTAAATATTCTATAAAACTTAAATTAATTTCAGCTTTTAAAAGTTTTAATATTATAATATTTCTCTTAAATAAGGAACCATATTAAACTGAATAAATTTTTTAATTTGGATACCTGAGAAATCAAAGTTCATGCTCATTTATAGTGGTGAACATATTAGTCGTATTTACAATGGTTTAAACTATAATCTAAAATTTTATACTTTATGTAGACGTTGTACATATATTTTTTCCTTTATCGATTGAGTTATATATATGCGTCCGTTTTCTAAAATTTAAATTGTAAAATGTGTGGAAAAAAATGTGTATTTTTATTATAAATTTATTTTATGTAATAATATAAATTAAAAACAAATAAGATTATATAAATATATTGGAGAGAGATTCGATTTATTAAAGAGAGAGTTTAGGAAATTTTTTGATGTAATAAATATTTGTTTCCATTTTTGCGATTTGCTTGTGAGTTAATTACAAAATTTACTTTTAAGTTTTGTTATTTATTCAAATAGCAAGTGTTTGATTATGTAAATAATACAAAATAAAAGGTTATAATCCAAATAAGATTTTAATACAAAATGTACTTCAAAAATGTTAAGATAGATCTTTTTTCCTGGAAATACTCCTCTAATTTTTTAGATTATTTTATCTAAATGTATTTTTGTAAACTTATTAAAAGATAAATAAACTACTTTTTGGAACCTTAAAAATTTGGATTGAATTTTTGAGTAGTAGTTACTATCTTTTCAAACATTAGAAATAATTGTATTTAGAAAATGACATATAAAATAAATTTGGTAGATATTATTATAAGAAAAAAACACAGCATGATCCCAACTATAGTGTGCACCGCGAACATGGCTTTTAGAGCCAATGTAGGCACAGTTCGGTATTGCAGAACGAGCATCTCTTGTTCAGTTTGACGCAGCACATGATTCACAAGCTAGCTGCCCGTTGTGACACTGAACCTGCCCGAAGAATTTTAAGGCCTTTGGGCCTTTTATTACTACTAAACCTTTGGGCCTTTTATTATTACAAAAACAAATTCTGTATTATTTTTAATAACTTTTTTTTGGGGCTTCATTATATCAAATTGAGAGAGAGTTAGTACAAATTCCATATTGTAGTTCTCGACATATGTAGCTAGGCATTGAGAGAGAGAAACATATCTTGTATTAAACATATCTTGTAATTTTGCTTTCCTACTCAGTCCTGGTTTTATTACTATCTGATTTTTGTCGACCTTCATTATCAACAGTTTACATTTGTTTTCTTGCATTTGTGATGACATCAACAGTTTATAATCAAATAGCCTAAACCAATTGCATGGTTACAATAAATTAGTAAATATATTATCTCATAGACAGCGATCAAACTTTGGCCTTAATTTATCGTTTATTTCTTCTTAATATATAACATGCTTCACTCAAATAAGTAATTATTAATTTCTCTGTTCTCCCAGCTTTTTTTTTTGGTAGGGTGTTCTTTGAGCTTTTATAAGTAAACTATGCTGAGAATATTCAAAAGCTCTCACTCAAACGATGGCTTTTCATAGTTTTTATTTAAAAAAAGCTTGGCCTTTTATATCTAATTTTAGGTTAGATATATATATTTTTTGAAAGAAAAAAAAAAGTATCTGGTACGTGGTCGCATTCCCCTCGCAGCCTATTGAGTCGGGGTTGCACTAAACACAAGCAAAAAGAGTTAGCTAAGACAAATCAAACTCATTACAAGATCTATGTTTGACATTAAATTCACTAACCCTAGATGGAAGGAAAAAACAAGGACCAAATCTTTTCAATGGTTCGAAGCAACAAGGGAATTCAAGAATATTCACGTTTCAAATTGTGAAAAGAAATGAAACTATTTCCTCAATATGTTATTGGTTTGTGATTTAAATAGAGTTTTAGTGACTTTAAAGGTTATGTAAAAATATATTGTTATTCAGTCAAGATTTTGTTAAATTATTTTAAAGTTTGATGTTATTAATTTGAGATTTGTAAAAAAGTCATTAAAATCTTAATAAATTGTAAAATCAATAAAACTTTGGTGTGATTTAATTAAAACAAAAGAATCTAAGATACTGTTTCTTAATACAATTATTATGTAATTAGATTATGGTTTTATACATTTTTCTTTATAAAATAAAGTCATGAAAAGTATCATCAAGATATAAAGATTTTATGGGAGACTTTACGAAATTATTAAAAATTTAATCAACAAGACTATATAAAAGTCACTTCCAATCCTCTAAAAATCTTTTACTTATTCACTTTATATGATTTTATCGAAGTCATTAAAACTTTTAATAAATTAAAATCCAATGAAATTATAGTTTTATATGATAATACTTATAACTATCATTAATTATACACATGGGAAAGTGACATAGTTTCTTCTATTTAAAAGCTAGTGCTTCTCAAAGTTTGAGAACTGACTTTGCTAGAGATTAGGATAAAAAAATTCATACATATCATCGGCCATGATCATGGAAGCCATAACTATGTTTGGCCCAAATTATAAAACTCAAGTCTCTCTTCCCTTACGTAACACCTTCTTTCCGCAAATTCAACAATTCCACTTTCCGCTGACATCATTATCTGGCAAGGCTCTGACCACTATAAGGGCTTGTGGTGACCGGGAAATTAGTTCACGCACGTTTAAGAAGCTGCCACCTTCTGAATGGGGTCATCACTTCCTCACTGTTCCCGTTGACTTGTTGGTGAGTCTATTTACATGTTCTTTAATTGTAATGCAAAACAAGATCTTGATGATACACCATCTTTTGTAGGAAATGAATGCGTTGGCGAGAGAGATCGATGAACTAAAGATAAAAGTGAAAGAAATGCTCATCAAGCCTGCCCTAGGTATCAAAGAGACTAAGAAGAGAATCATGTTTGTCTATTTGCTAGTGAGCCTTGGTCTCGCCGGTCATTTTGTGGATGAGATTAATGAGAATCTAAAGCAAGGTTTCGAAGCGAGAGAGGAAATGATGGCCGGTGAAGATGATTTGTACACAGTTTCCACCATCTTTTGGATTTTCAGGACATACGGTTACGATATGTCCTCTGGTACGAGAAGGAGATCTCTAGCTAATGTTTTGTTTCCCTTTCATATTGACAAAATGCTCCATTTTTCAAAACAGATGTGTTCAAGAGATTTCAACGGGAAGATGGCACGTTCAAGGAATGTCTTGTCGCGGATGCCAAAGGAATGTTAAGCTTATACGAAGCCGCGCATTTGGAGACACAAACAGAGAAGATCTTGGATGAAGCATTGAGATTCACACCTGGCCAGTTGGAGTTGTTAGCTGAAGGAGGGAATCTCCCACCTCATATCTCGAGGCTTATAAAAAATTCTCTTTTCATTCCTCAGCGTTATAATAACGAAATGATATTCGCAAAGGGATACATTTCATTTTACGAGCAAGAAGAAGATCATGACAAGATGTTACTCCGGTTTTCGAAGCTAAACTTCAGATTCTTACAGCTGCATTGGATTCAAGAGCTGGAAACTCTTACCAAGTATTATATTTAAATTTTTATATTTATCACACACAAAAAAGAAGTAGATATATGTTTATTATATAGTTATGAGATTGAAAGCTCTTATAAAATAGATACTAACATGTCTTTTGTTATGTAGGTGGTCGAAGGAGCAAGACCTAGTAGCTAAGCTCCCACCTTACTTCAGAGATAGAATGGTAGAATGTTATTTTTTCGCATTTGGGGTCCAGCCACAGTTTTCACGTGATAGAGTTTTAGCGGCTAAGTTTTTCATGCTCTACACCATTGTTGATGATACATGCGATAGATTTGCCTTGTTCCCTGAAACCAAAATTCTTGTCGAGTGCATGGAGAGGTATACTTACATTACATTATCTATATGAAATTACATGCTACATTCTCTTTAGTGATAGATGCTTGATATAAAAGTACTCGATCCAGATTGGTTCCAGATTCGGTGGACAGTCTACCAGATTATATGAAACCCATCTTCAGGTTTACACTCAATGTTTTCGAAGAGTCTAAAAGCATGACTAGGTCTGAAGAAGAAGAATCCTATTTTGTCCAAGGTGCACTAGAAGAGGTAAATTAAAATGAAAATCATATATGGTCATGGTCAAATCATAAAAAGTTTTTATACTAATTAATGTCTGAAGTAAGATAAAATTAATCATATATGTCTATTGACATTTTGCTTGTACTTCTATGTAAGGAGTTTAAGATTCTCATGAGATCTTATATTAAATTTGGCGAATGGGAAGGGACAAACACGGTGCCTACGTTTGACGAGTCCATGGAGGTTAAAGACACTCAAATCGTCATTTTCGCAGCTTTACTACTAAGTTTTCTTGGTCTGGGACATAAAGATATGGAACTGGCTTATAACTGGTTAAAATCCAGGCCAAAACTCGTTCGAGCTATAGCTAGAAATACCCGTCTGTTGAATGACATGACCGGCTTTGAGGTACACCTTCATTATGTTCTTCCTCTTTTGCGCTAGCTAGATGGATACTATTTTATCCTACACTGACTAGTAAAATTTTGTGTTGTGAACAGGATGACATGAATAGAGGGGATGAAGCCAATGTCGTCAACTACTATATGAAGCAACACAGTGTTAGCAAAGAGGAAACATTTAGGGAGTTAAATAAAATGGTTAGAGATACTAAGAGGGTGGTAAATGAAGAGTTCTTGAAGATTGCGAAAACAATGCCAATTCATATCCTCCATCGAGCCCTTAATTGCGGAAATATGTCGATTATAACCTATAGGGATGGTGATGGATTCACCAATCCAATTGGAAGATTCAAGGACCATATGACCTCCTTGTTCGTAGATTTGATGCCCCTTTGAATATCCAATCATATTAGTTATGCAATCAGATATTATCCATTTGCAATTTGATCAAAATTCTTGCAAGAATAAATCCAATAAATGTTATTTTGGCTTCAATTTATTTGTTAGTATATTTCGCATGACTTTTACTATGGTGGGTGCATTTTGTCATTTTGGTGTCTCTCTTAAGACATATTTAGCTAAGATAATCACTTTTTCACTTATATTTGTATTCCCTAAATGACTTGTAGTAGTAGGACACAAATTTTCCTTCGAACGAATGTAAAACTATATTCAATCAAATTTTTTTTTTACAACCAAATTTAGTATTGTTTGATATTTATCTTCAACAAACATTTTTTAACCTCGTTTTTGATATATATCTATTAGGCACCGCATATACCTTGAGATTATAATATATTTTAAATCTTGTGAAAGACTGAAAGTATAATATTTAAATAAAATGAAATCATTCATGTAAGTATATATAAAACAATAGTGAATACGCTATTAAATAAGGTTATATCATTAGGTTTTCTAATTTGAGTATCGTGTGCCCTAATACTCGAAATCAAGAGTCCCATCCGTTGTCGACTTGATCAGCTCTCATGAAAAGTAAACAGAGGGTTACTCATTCAAATATCTCAATCTTTTTATTGTATTTTTAACATGGAAGAGTTTCATTATAAATAAATATCTACCACCAATTTGTGCATAGTTTGCAAACATTACAATAACTTTTTGTTCTTATTTGTTTTTTTTTTGGTTCAACAATTATTTCAAAACTTTTAAGGACATTCTCAACAAAGGAATGAATGGATCATTTAGCAAAAGAATCCGACTATACATGGTAGTTTTCATCAACAAATTAGAACAAAAAAAAATAAACAATGAAAATCTAAGAGAGCAATTCTATTTCTTTTTTATAATAAATATCACAGAAGATTCTCTTAAATTATTTTATTGTAAGTTTCAATTTTTACTTATAAAAGCTAAAATATAGATTTAAAGTGGATCGACACACACTTGCAATCTATAACTTTACAAATTTTAACTTCTACAATCATACCACAGTTACAGTCTCTTGCTATAACGCTTGTGGCCTAAAGCTTGAATAGATGAGAGATGACTTCTCACTTGTTTGTTAATCCATGGGGTTAGAGAAGTATAAGTAGAATCGACGGTAAGAGAAAGAATCAAACATTAAGTTAAACAATAAGGCCATATAAGAGTTTTAGACTTTAGAGATAGACTTCATGGGTGAAAGAAGCAACAACAACAACAAAAAAAAACAAACATCAGAAGTACATTACTAGGCCACTGAATATGAACTCAATGAACTACTACAATAGATATGATATAATAGTATTACTCCTCATCTTCTTCTCCGTCGTCGTCTTCCTCCTCATCTTCATATCTTAATTCGCGAATGCGAATTTCCATCTTGACTACCAAGCTTTCATCCAGGAAAGGGTAAGCAATAAACATGGATTTCACCCCAGGAGTTTTGAAACTCACCCTTTGAATCCTATTCATCTCGTCAATTGTATCCGTAAACTCTACATCCCCCCTCCAGCAAATGAGATCATAGCCAAATTTCCAACCTCTTGGAGCAAAAGGAGCAGCGAGTAAGTTCGCGGTCACATACAACCCGTCTGGCCCCTTAAAAGCCTGAAGAATAACCAATGGACCATAATTATGTTCTTGAAGGATTAACATCGTCTCCTTCATGTGTACCGGTACGTCAACGTCAACGTACTGGCCAGTCCTGAAACTTGATGAGTAATTAGCCTTGTGGGAAACAGTGAAATGATCGTAGAGATTCTTATCGAAACCAGCGTAGTCGCAAAATGGTACAGGACAATGGCACACAAAACCATCACACTCCTTCTCATGGTCGACTAACTCTTTGCCACGAGAGAGTTTCTCTGTGCAACCATGCTTGGCGTTTCGGCATGGGAAAAAGACTGTTTCCACAAGTCTCTCCATTATTCTAGACCGAGTGTTACCAATGAACGAGAAGCAAGAAGGGCATCTTTCATTCATAGTACGGCAAGAAGAGCATATTATATGCCCTTCCACACACTGAAATGTAAAAACACAGGGTTATGTATGTATAGAGAAGAGAAACTAAGCAAATGGAGAAACCAAAACAGTCATCCATCATGTTTCCTTGACCGTAACTTCTTGTCCTATACGAATCACTGTCCTAAAATGAAACTTCTTGTCCTATTCTTATAAAAATCACTATTACACTAATCATTGCTATCCTAAAGCCTCATATCAACAAAAATCATCGCAGTGCAATTATAAACAAGGAAGAAGAGAGACCTGATAGATAGGACTCGCCAGTGGGTGGCGGCAAATGGGACAGTCCAGAAGATCAAGCTCGAGAAGTGCCCCAGTCCGTGCAATCACGTCATCACCACTTGCGGTTCTTCCAGAGTTCTCCATGGTTCCAAGTCTTTGTCTGTGCGGCTGCTCTCGTTGCTGTATAAGAGATTATTGTGGTGGTGGAGGCTGTTACATGTGCTTCACTACTTATATATACGTAGAGAAGATAGGGTGCAGTGGTAAACCCTTCTTTCCTTAAAACGCATGCAACGTGTTTTTTTTTAGATTTTAGAGATTCAGTGGAGGATATATCTTGTAACGCTATCACTAGCTAGATCTTATCTTAACCTCATGATTTTAAGATATATTTCCCTTTTTACAACAAGGAAAAAAACACAAGAGTTGAATATTTACACTTTTGTTTCACAAATAATCATGTTTTTCAATTTAATGAAAACTTAATTTTGTATTTCCTGAATTTTTTATACCAAGTAAATTCAACAAAATATCAATCTAAACCAGATTTAGTTATCATTTGGAATTGATGACTTTAATACACTTCAATTGAAATTTTCGTAACAATAGGTTAAATACCAGATTTATTAGTATTTGGATTTTTTTTTTTAAATAGTTTTCCGTAGTCCATCCTTACATGTACACCAATATCGTCGAACGACCAAGAAAAAAATTTATATATCTCTGGTTCATCAGTCGCAACTCCAAAAAATAGGTTGGTAATAGCCCTGGGCATTCAGATACTCGGGTCGAGTTCGAGTAAGAACCGCTCGGGTCGGAGAGTTTAGGATTCGATGTGGGAAATATAAAAATTCGGTTCAGTTTCGTTTGGATCCATTTGGGTTCGAGACGACAAAAAAAATAAAAAAAATAAGGGGGCTAAGAGACCACAAAAACAAAAAAATAAGGGGGCTAAGAAAAGTTAATTCAATTAGTCTCAAGAAGGCTAAGAAACCAGGAAACTAGTTGACCGAAAAAGAAACTAAGGGCATGTGCATTGGCCGGTCCCTGCCCAATCCCCCACCCAAAAAGAAAAAAAATCAAAAAAAAAAATTGAAGAGGAAAATCCTCTGCCTTAGTATTTCACTATTCGCGGGCTCTACTGACATGTAGCGGCCGCGACTGGTTACCTTTTTTTAAAAAAAATCTATAAAAGAAAAAAAAACATTTTTCTGGGACAAAAATGCACTCCCACCGATGCCATGGCCTAAGAGACTATATAATATGGAAGAGTTGCGGGGACAAGAACAACTGTGTTGACACTCAAATTAGCTTACAAAGCCTTAACTGATCTCTTATAGAAGTAAAGAAACTCATCAAGACTCCACAATTCAACTTCAAGACCATTGTGTGCCCTAATACTCGAAATCAAGAGTCTCATGTAACCGTTGTCGACTTGATCCGCATTCAAGGGAACAGCTACGTTTTATTTGGAAATTTTCAACTTTAAATTGCTCATGAGGTCTACACTGTGTAATGGTGTCTAGGATTCCAGTTATTATTATTATTTATTTGTTTCGGGGAATTAAAATAAAAATATATACCACCAATTTGTGCATAGTTTGCAAAAAAAAAGAAAAAATACATTTACTTTTAATTTGTTCTTATTTGAAAATATTTTTTGTTTTTTGTTCAACAACTATTTCAAAACCTTAAAGGACAATTCTCAACAAAGGATTGAACATGGGTGAAAGAAGCAATAACAACAACAACAACAAAAAAACATCAGAAATACATAGCACTAGCCAACTGAATATGAACTCAACGACCTATTACAACAGATATAGCATAATATTATTACTCCTCTGCGTCTTCCTACTCATCATCTTCTTCTTCGTCATCTTCTTCTTCCTCATATCCTACTTCGCGAATGCGAAGTTCCATTTTCACAACCAAGCGTTCATCCAGGGCACTGTAAGGAATAAACATGTAGTTCCGCACAGGTTCTTCGAAACTCACCCTTTGAATCCTAGTCAGCTCGTCGGATTCAAAAGTAATCTGTTCAGAACCCCTCCGGTAGATGAGATCAAAGCCAAATTTCAAACTACCAGGAGTAGAAGGACATGTGAGTAAGTTGACGGTCACACACAAACCGTCTTTCCTATTAAAGGACTGAAGAAGAACCAATGGATCATTATAATATTCCTGAAGGATTAAAACTATCTTGTTGATGAATCTATTATATGATGGTATTACATGTACGTCAACGTCAACGTACTGGCCGGTCTTGAACTTTGATGAGTATCTATCCTTGTGCCAAACAGTGAAATGATTGAAGAGATTCTTATCGAAACTAACGTAGTCGCAAAATGGTACTGGACAATAGCACATATACTCATCACACTCCTTCTCATGGTCGTCTAAATCTTTGCCATAAGAGAGTTTCTGTCTGCAGCCATTCTCGGAGTTTTTGCATGGGAAAAAGAGTGCTCCCACGAGTCTCTCTGTTATTCTAGACCGATTGTTACCAATTGGCAACGTGCAAGAAGGACATTTATCCCTCGTGAGCTTAGTACGGCAAGTCGAGCATATTATATGCCCGTTCGTACACTGAAATGTAAAAAGACAGAGTTAGGTAACATAATTAAAGTTGACCAAAACTTCTTCTCCTATACGAATCACTGGTCCTAAAATGAAACTTCTTGTCCTATTCCTATACGAATCACTATTACACTAATCATTGCTATCCTAAAGCCTCATATCAACAAAAATCATCTTTGTCGGAATCATAACTCATAAGTAGTGCAATAATAAGCCAGGAAGGAGAGAGACCTGATAGATAGGACTGGCCAAAGGGTGGAAGCAAATGGGACAGTCGAGAAGATCAAGATCAGATAGCATCCCAGTCCGTGCAATCACGTCATCACCACGTGCGGTTCTTCGAGGGTTCACCATGGTTCCAAGTCTTTGTCTGTGCGGCTGCTCTCGTTGATGTATAAGAGATTATTGTGGTGGCGGAGGCTGTTACATGTGCTTCTCTACTTATATATACGTAGAGAAGATAGGGTTCAGTGGTAAACCCTTCTTTCCTTAAAACGCATGCAACGTAGAATTTAGAGATTCAGTGGAGGAGAAAATTCGTAACGCTGTCACTAGCTAGATCTTATCTTAACCTCATCTATTTATGATATCTTTCCCTTTTTACAACAAGGAAAAAAACACAAGAATTGAATATTTACACTTTTGTTTCACAAATAGTCATGTTATTAATTTTGTAATTCCTGATTTTGTCTATACAAAGTAAATTCAACAAAATATCATTCTAAACTAGATTTATTTATCATTTGGAATTGATGAGTTGAATACTCTTTATTAAAATTTTCGTAACAATAAGTTGAATATATACCAGATTTATTAGTATTTCAGTTAAAGTTTTTGAAAATATTTTTCCCAAGTCCATCCTTAGACACCAATATATATCGTCGAATCACCAAGATTGAAAATTTATTTATTTTATCATTGTTTTATATATCTCTCGTTCATCAGTCCCAACAATTGATTGGTATTCAAAAATATGGATTTGGTGAACTATATATTTTTGATGCTCTTGTTTTGGCTAACCACTTAGCATAAGATTCGAATATGACTTGTTTGAGCCTATAACTCAAGCCTATTGTAATAAAAGTTTCGTACTCTCATTCCATACATCATCAACATTGCCTTTAAGATTTCTTCTTGGAGGATGAGACGTCCTTAGAAAACGTCTGAATTATACCCAAATAAACATGCCCCTTTGAATATCCAATCGTATTCATATAAGTTGCTATTTGACCAAAATTCTTGCAAGAATAAATCCAACATAAGTTATTAGTGGTTTTAGTTTATGTGTTAGTGTATTTGCTATTTTGGGCCTTTTGGTTTGTTCTTTAATTTAATTTTATTATCTACAGTAACCTACTTTCTTGAGTTTTTTAAACATTTTTAGTTTTTCTTTCTAATACAACTGATGTACTAGTTGTACAAACGTTTTGTTTTGATATAGTTTAACATTAAATTCAAAAAAAAAAAAGATAACCTACTCTCTTAAGACCAAAATAACCAGCTAACCACTTAAACTTTTATCCCCTAAATGACTTGTAGTTATTAGTATGAAAAAATTTGTTTTTGAATGCATATAAAATTACATTCAGTCCAATATTTTTATTACTAGCACTCTAGCAGTTTCTTTTATAAAATTAAATTCAAATTTCAAAGGCACGAAAAATGATGTCGTTTGCCAACGTATTCGTGTAATTATTGAATGAAGTATATTCAGTTTAACTAAGTATACTTAAACTCAGAGTAAATGAGTTTTTTTTTAATAACTAAGTATACTTAAACTCAGAGTAAATGAGTACACTTATTAGGTTTCTAATAGGTTTAAAGCATGGCACCAAAATGATTTAGTAAATTTCGCGTTTCAAGCTAAGGGAACTGATCACGTAGATCTACGAAATAATTAGTTCCTCCCTAAGTGAAAATTATTAGACCACCACTACTTGATTGGAATCAAATGTGTTGAAAACAGCTTTATGAAAATATTTCGAATCCGTCCATACACACACTAACTTCGAGAACAAAAAAAAGAAAAATCAGCCTACATATTGCGATTGCGTACACAAACAATTGTTGGGTTCTCTGAACCAAACCAACTTTCAATTAGTATGATATTGTTCGCTTTAGGCCTATAATTCAAGCCCACACAGATTTGTTGGGGTCTTTCCCAAAATGTCTTATACTAATTAGAGTTGGACTTGACTTATGATGACAAAAAAAAATAAAAAGTTGGACTTGACTTATATATTATAAACTTTTCTTTCTAAGAACTCAAGCCCGCACGATTTTTTTATTGGGCTCATTCCCAAAAAGCCTCATACTAATTAGAATTAGACTAGACATATATATTAGAAACTTCTCTTTCTAATCTTCCGATGTGGGATATTGGTTTGTATTTCAATAACAATCTATCTTTTTTTTTTTTTTTTGTCGGCACAATAACAATCTATCTTAAGATCAAGTTTCATCAAAGGCTCACAATCACATTTAGGCTACTCAATCCCCTGAGTGCCTTAACTACAACCAAATCACTCTCTTTCTCTTCCTCCAAATTAAAACGACAATCTTCTGCTTACCTAGGCCCATGTTAAAGATTAAAAGATGGTCAAACACAAATGTGGGATGAGGATAAAATCATCATCCCAAGAATGACTCAAGACCATGGAAACATAACTGCACCAGGAAACCAGAAAAAGAAACTAAGTGACTATATCATATGGAAGAGTTGCTGGGACAAAAACATTGTGTTGAAACTTATCAAGACCCTACAATTTAACTTCAAAACCGTCGTGTGCCCTAATACTCGAAATCAAGAGTCTCATATGTTGTCGACTTGATCCGCTTTTAAGATCCTCCAAATATCTCGGTCCTAGCTACGTTTTGTTTGGAAATTTCAACCTTAACTTTCTCATGAGGTTTACTTTGTTTGTATTTATAAATTGTAGTATACTCTATGCCAGAGGCACTGTGTAATCGTGTCTAGGATTCCAAATTATTTATTTTATCTTTTTGCAGGAGGAGTTTGCAAAAAAATACAATAAATTTTTGTTCTTATTGAAGATACTTTTTTATTATTATTTTTGGTTCAACAACTTTTTCAAAACCTTTAAAGACATTCTCAACAAAGGAATGAATGGATAATTTAGCAAAAAACCCGACCATACATGGTAGTTTCCATCAAAAAATTAGAAATTAAAAATTAAATAATGAAAATCTAAGAGAGCAATTCTATTTTTAAAAAATAAATATCACAAAAGATTTTTTTTTTTTTTGATTAAAAGTTTCAATTTTTACTTATAAAAGCTAAAATATAGATCTAAAGTGGGTCGACACACTTGCAATCTATTTATATATACAATTTTAAGTATATTTTGTACTAAAATTATTTTATGCCAAAAACCAATGTCTTAAACACTATTAATCTCAAATCATTAAACTTAGTTCCGTAAATATGTATTTCGGGTCGGTTCAAAATTAAAATTGACAATCCGAAGTCACATATCGAATCCTCATTTATTATTATCTTAACCGAAATGAAAAATAATATTCTAATATATTGAATATATGGTAAGATTACGGTTCTTACCAAAAACTATATGAACCAATAAAATTTTGACTACGAGATTTTTCCATATCTCTGTAAAAAAGGACTTGTGGTATATCACGGGATAAATCTTAAATACTTTACAAAATTTTAACTTCAAGAATCGTACCACAGTTACCTAAATCTTGAAAAGATGAGAGATAACTCTTCACATGTTTGTTAATCACTTGAATAGATGAGAGATGACTCCTCACTCATCTCTCTTCAAAGTGTACGTGGATTGAGGACTTAGCGGGCAAGGAAGCTCAGTGTTCGAACGTGAGTAGAGTCTGAGGCATAAGACACACACTATCTATGTATTGCTTAATCAATGATAAGAACAAAGAGAAGTAAAAGTAGAATCGTTGGTAAGAAAAAGAATCAAACATTAAGTTAAACAATAAGGGCCATATAAGAGTTTTAGACTTCATGGGTGAAAGAAGCAACAACAACAAAAAAAAAAAAAACATCAGAAATACTACAACAGATATGATATAATATTAACTCAACGACCTACTACAACAGATATGATATAATATATTATTACTCCTCATCTTCTTCTTCGTTATCTTCTTCCTCCTCATCTTAATTCGCGAAATGCGAATTTCCATCTTCACTACCAAGCTTTCATCCAGGAAAGGGTAAGGAATAAACATGGATTTCACCCCAGGAGTTTCAAAACTTAACCTTTGAATCCTATTCATCTCGTTAATTGTATCCGTAAACTCTACATTTCCCCTCCAGCAAGTGAGATCATAGCCAAATTTCCAACCTCTCGAAGCACAAGGAGCAGCGAGTAAGTTCGCGGTCACATACAACCCGTCTGGCCCCTTAAAAGCCTGAAGAATAACCAATGGACCATGATTATATTCCTGAAGGATTAACATCGTCTCTTTCATGTTTACCGGTACGTCAACGTCAACGTACTGGCCAGTCCTGAAACCTGAACAGTAATTAGCCTTGTGGCAAACAGTGAAATGATAATAGAGATTCTTATCGAAACCAGCGTAGTCGCAAAATGGTACAGGACAATAGCACACAAAACCATCACACTCCTTCTCATGGTCGACTAACTCTTTGCCGTGAAAGAGTTTCTCCGTGCAGCCATGCTTGGCGTTTCGGCATGGGAAAAAGACTGCTTCCACAAGTCTCTCCATTATTCTAGACCGAGTGTTACCAATGAACGAGAAGCAAGAAGGGCATCTTTCCTTCAGCTTAGTACGGCAAGGAGAGCATATTATATGCCCCTTCACACACTGAGATGTAAAAACACAGAGTTAGGTATGTAACATTATAAAAGTGTATAGAGAAGAGAAACTAAGCAAATGGAGAAATCAAAACAGTCATCCATCATGTTTCCTTGACCATAACTTCTTGTCCTATACGAATCACTGTCCAAAAATGAAACTTCTTGTCCTATTCCAATACAAATCACTATTACACTATAGTCATTGCTATCCTAAAGCCTCATATCAACAAAAATCATCGCAGTGCAATAAGAAACCAGGAAGAAGAGAGACCTGAAAGATAGGACTCGCTAGTGGGTCGCGGCAAATGGGACAGTCCAGAAGATCAAGCTCGAGAAGTTTCCCAGTCCGTGCAATCACCACTTGCGGTTCATGAACCTTGATGAGTAACTATCGTTGTGCCAAACCGTGAAATGATTGTCGAGATCCTCGTACATGCCCGTGTAGTTGCAGTTTGGTGCAGGACAATAGCACATAGTAGAACCGCAATTTTCTTGATGGACTAAATCTTTGCCATAGGAGGACTTCTTGGTGCAGCCATGCTTGGCGTTTGGGCATGTGAGAATGACTGCTTCCACAAGTTTCTCCAGTATTCGACATCGATAAATACCAACGGGCAAAGTGCACGAAGTGCATTTATTCCTCATCAGCTTAATACAACAAGAAGAGCAAGCTATATATCCATTTTCACACTGAGATGTAAAACAAAGAGTTAGTTAATATTATCAAAGTTGTATAGAGAAGAGAAACTAAGCCAATGTAGACAAGATTAAATTTTAACAAAATCATCCTTCTCAGACTAGTAAGTAGTGAAATTATTAACTTTTACAACCAAATCAATTATAAACCAAGAAGTAGAGAGAGGCCTGAAAGATAGGACTCATTAGTGGGTGGCAGCAAAGGGGATGGTCAAGAAGATCAAAGTCGAATAGTATCAAAGACCATCCCATCACGTCAAAACTTGAGATTAGTCTTTGCCTCTTTGGTCGGCGGTTGCGGCGTTATCCATTCCTATCTGAGTATATAAGAGATGTGGTGGTGGAGGCTTTTACTTGTGCTTTGCTACTTATATACACGTACAGAAAGAAACGGTGCCGTGCCTAAACCATTCTTTTCTTACATGCAAGATTTTTTCTAAGTTTAAATCTTTGACTATGACTATATCTTATCTTCTTTCCTTACATGGAATGATTTTTTTCTAAGTTTAGATCTTTGACTATGACTATATCTTATTTCAACAAAGTAATATACAATTAATTTTTAGATTAGTTTCTCATTTTGGATAATTTCAAAATACAATTTTATCAAAAATCTTTTTTCCTGGAAATACTCCTTCTCTAAAATTTTTAATTAAAAATGCCACTGAAAATCTAATATTTATCTAAATGTATGTTTAAAACTTATAAAAAATAAATAAAATACTTTTTTGAAACCTTATAAATTTGGATTGAATTTTTGAGTAGTATAAGTTACTATCTTTTCAAACATTAGAAATAATTGTATTTAGAAAATGACATATAAAATAAATTTGGTAGATATTATTATAAGAAAAAAACACAGCATGATCCCAACAGTTTGAATATGTTTATATTCAGAGGACTCTTTGCTTCTTCTGATACGTGAATATATTCACATTTTCGAGTCACTATAAGTCCGTGTAAGAGCTAATGTTGGCACAGTTCGATATTGCAGAACGAGCATCTCTTGTTCAGTTTGACGCAGCACAGGATTCACAATCTAGCTGCCCGTTATGACCTGTCCGGTTCGAAGAATTTTAAGGCCTTTGGCCTTTTATTATTACAAAAACAATTTCTGTATTATTTTTAATAAAAACATTTTGGGGCTTCAATATATCAAATTGAGTGAGAGTTAGTACAAATTCCGTATTGTAGTTTACGACATATTTAACGTGAGAGAAACATATCTTGTATTAAGCTGTTCGGCTCTATTTTTTCTTATCCGATCATTCAATAAAAGCCTTCCTACTCAGTACTGGTTTTATTACTATATGATTTTTGACTACCTTTACAATCAACAGTTTACATTTGTTTTCTTGCATTTGTAATGACATCAACAATTTATAATCAAATAGCCTAAACCAATTGTTTGGTTACAATAAAATAGTAAAATATATTATTTCATAGATGCGATCAAACTTTGGGATTAATTTATCCTTTATTTCTTATTAATAACATATTTAACTCGAATATATAAGTAATTGTTAATTTCTCTGTTCTCTCAGCTTTTATAAGTAAACTATGTTGAGAATATTCAAAAGTTCTCACTCAAAGGATGGCTTTTTCATAGTTTTATAAAAACGAATCTTGGCCTTTTATATCTAATTTTTGGTTATATATATATATATTTTTCAAAGAAAAAAAAAGTCTCTGGTACGTGGTCGCACTCCCCTCGCAGCCTATTGAGTCGGGGTTGCACTAAACACAAGCAAAAAGAGTTAGCTAAGCCAAATTAAATTCATTACAAGACCTATGTTTGACCTTTTAAATTCACTAACCCTAGATGGAAGCAAAAAAACAAGGACCAAATCTTTTCAATGGTTCGAAACAACAAGGGAAAGCAAGAATATTCGAGTTCGGAAGATCGTGGTCGCCGTCAGAAATAAGGGGACGCCCTTGCCTCTTTGAGGTGTTTGTTGAGAGAGTAAGACTAGATATAAAAAGTTTATTGTCCACTGTAATAGTTTTTCAAATTGTGAAAAGAAATGATGGTCGCACTCAATATGGTATTTAAAAGGTGAAAGGTGTTATTGATTTGTGATTTAAATAGAGTTTTAGTGACTTTAAAGATTATAAAATATAAATTGTTATTCAGTCAAGATTTTGTTAAATTCTGTTAAATTTTCATGTTATTTGATTACAAGGTTTTTTAACCCGATAACTTAACCGAAATAAAGTATATGCGGTATCGATCACAAGGAGCAAGACATAGGAAAATCCTCAAAATCATGAATTTCAAGGGTTGAAACGCATGTACCTTCTATTTCACTCAGTGGGACCCAATATATTATCTTTTCAAGATCATGGGCTTCTTTATCTGATAGCATGTGAGTTGTCTTCCTTCATATGCTGCCCGCAACGATATGAGGTTCAACCAGATCATAGTCGATAAGTCACTCTTGTCAATATTGAATTCTCCATGTAACGTTCATCTAACTTCACTTTTTGTTCCGGAAAATACTCTCATCAAATGGTGGCTCTATGTATGGCTCATCCTCTTCTTCTTGTGGCCAATCATTGGATTCTATGACCAGAAACTCCCCTATACTTGGTGCCATTTTTTTTTGTGAAAGATAAAATGAAAAAGAAAGTGATAGTTAACAACTGTAAATAAAAATGCTCTAAACTATCTAAGAGCAGCTCCAACCCACATCTATTTTTATCTCTAAGACCATCTCCAATGGTTTTTGCTATTTTTTAAATTTTTGAAAGGTTTTGGATGACTTTTAAAAGATTTACAAGGGTTTTTAACGGATTTTTAAGGGATTTAAAAATATTTACAAGGTTTTTAAAAGTTTTTTTAAGGAATTGCGGCAAAATTTGGCTGAAAATTTCGGGAGGGAAAAATTTTGTCGGAAATTTTTTGGTGAGAAATTTTTTTGGCGGGAAAATTTTTGTCGGTAAAGTTTTGGCGGGAAAATTTGGCGGAAAATTTTTCGGAAGGAATATTCTTTTTGTTGGAAGGAATATTTTTTTTGTTGGAAGTAATATTCTTTTTGTTGGAAGGAATATTCTTTTTGTTGGAATATGAAAATGTTTCAATCCTTTTGTACATTGAAAATGTTATTTTTGAAAATGCAAACCTAGAGAGGGTACTTGTAGAAAATGGTATCATAAAAAGGTTAATTGTGCAAATCCCCTTATATTTTAGAGGTTTTAATATAAATATATATTTTAAAATTTGAGATTACCGTTTGCAAAAGTAACTTATATTAAATCTTATACATATATATAATAATAGATTTTATTTTTATTGAAGGAAAAAAAGATTTTATTTTTTCATTGATTCCATAATAATTCTTTTAACAAAAAAAATAGTTAATACTCTGGTAAATTACTTCCAGATCTACCAATGTTGTTAAAGCATTGTTTAAATGATCGAAACGAAGTAGATAGAGGAGGAGCTTGTTGGTTTTGTTAATAGTTAAGAATCTAGTATCTTATTGTTTTTTATATAATGCGTTGTACTTTTTAATAAAAAATTATATAATATGATTTTTTTTTTAATAAATGTTTAATTTCAATAAAAGTAATTATTTTATTAAAAATTTATAAAAGTTAAAGTAAATGGGTTCATTTGCAACTTTTATAAATAGTTGGTGTTAATATTAAAATTTAAAAAGAATCTATTTGGAATATTATATTATAGAGGAAAAAATAAATGAATAGATTAGAGTAAAAGTCATATCTATTATAGAGGAAAAAATAGATGAATACATTAGAGGTGGGTTGGAGCTGATAGATAGAGATAAATGAAGGGTTCTTGAAGATGGCGAAAACAATGCCCATTAATATGCTCCAGCGAGCCATTAATTGCGGAAGTATGGGGACTATAACCTATAAGGATGGTGATGGATACACCAACCCCATTGGAAGATTAATTAAAGGACCATATCACCTCTTTGTTCGTAGATTTGATGCCCCTTTGAATATCCAATCATATTCGTATGAGATCATATCCAATCATATTCGTATGAGATAATATCCATTTGCAATTTGATTGAAAATCTTGCAAGAATAAATCCAACAAAAGTTATTAGTGGCTTCAATTTATGTGTTAGTGTATTTTTCATGACTTTTACTATGATGCGTGCATTTTTCATTTTGGACCTTTTGATTTGTTCCTTAATTAATTTATTTTTCTATTATCTACGATGAGTACCTACTTTCTTAAGACATATATAGTTTTTTTTTTTAGATGAAAATTAAAGGAAGCTTAAGCCTCTCTAATTACTAAAAATAAAAAATAAAGCAACTAAAACCAAATATTTTTTTGACGTGTCCATCCTACCTCATCCTCCTACGTAATTGAATCAACTTCCTCCGGACAAGCAGCAAGAGAGCGAAAATCTAACAGTAAATTAAACGTATAGTTTTCTAACCAATCTGCAAGACTAACTTCTCAATACACATGATCAGTATGGATTATACAGTTTTTCGAAATAAAACCACATATAGTTAAGATAATTACTTAAATTTTTTTTCCTTAAATGACTTGTAGTATTAGGACACAGTTTTTTTTTTTCAATGAATGTAAAATTATATTCAATTCAAAAAACATTATTTAAAATCAAGTGTTATTTTGTTTGAAAGTTTTTATAATTTGTTGTCAGCAATTTTTTTTTTTTCAAACTACTTTTAGAGAAATATATATATTATTTTAAATCTCGTGAAAGACTAAAAGTATAATATTTGAAAAGAAAATGAAATCATTCAATCTGAGAAAACATTGTTTACATAAAGAACTAACACGAAAACTTGTACGTAGAGACTTGAAATGCAATTTAAGTCATTAAACGGTAACACGAAGACTTCCACGTCTAGGGTATATCGAGAGAGAGACACTTGTGTGTGTGACGTTGCTCCACCTACATGACTAAAAGATATGTGGTTGTTTTGTTGTGTGATCAAATACTACACTCGTCGGTTAGTCCATAGTGGGCCTTAACAATAGTCAATCAGCTTAAGCCCATTACAGTAGCATTATTGCTTGTGCTTGTATTTTTTTTAGTCCCGTTCGTTCTTTTGAAATGATTTCGAGTATTCGAGAAGATCAACAAAAACAACAATTTCTCCTACTCTTATCTATTCTCTTCTATATAAGTCTTCTCTGTAGAGTCACGTTGCTGATACATTCTCCTTTATTAGGTCACAGGCTTAACAAAATCCCCTTCTTATTTCTTTCAAGGTACCCAATTCTTACTTACATTTTTCATATTAACTTTGTTCTGACATTGAGCAAAACAATGTCTGACATTGGTAGGTAGTAAAGTTTTTTTTAGCTTTCTCTCTTCTCAAATCGAGCTTCGTTTTTAAAATGTTGATTTAAGCTATAGTTGGTTAAGAATAAGCTAACGTGAAAGATGCAACATAAAGGTTCACTTAGGTTGTAATCATGTCGATGGTTGTGTTGAGAATCAAGAGAATGATTAATTTTACACGTACTTCTTAGCATAAACAATTCTTAGATTTATTTTTAAGAATTTATTTGTTGAAAACTCTTTTTAAGAATTTCTAGTGGATTTGCTATGTGCTGTCACTGTTGAGACGTAATGTTGTGTCTTGATTGGTCTCTATTCTTGATTGGTCTTCTGTTGCATACTCTGTTTCATCCCACAACGAACATGCTTCATGTTTTCTTGGTGGTTAATTTCGTTGTTGAGAGAACATAACAACTTTGAGAACATAACTTCGTTGTTAATTTCATAATTTCGTTGTTAATTTCGCGTAAATGTATGTATATTAATGTGGGATACGATTAATATAAGTACGTAATATTATATATTTTATTTCTAAGATTGCATTGGATATATATATATATATATAGATAAGACCATCGAGATTTTCTATTATTATAATGTATACTTGCATCATGTCTTTCTACTTCTCTGAGTTCTCTAACCTTCGTTCATTTCTCCTTTGTTTAACAAATAAAAATAGACCAGATATACGGATACCAAATAATATTAAACAAATCAAAGTAAAAACAAAATACTCACCAAAAAAAAAAAATCTAAAAACAAAATAAAACTGTATATTTGATTAACGTGTCACGTCCCCATCCTTACAAATGCTGAGACAAAGAATTTTGTATTTATGGATGATGATAATTTTTATTGTTAACTTTAAATCTTAACCGTTCTATTATAAATTCAAACCGATATATAATTTTGTTCGTTATAAAATTTAAATTTTAATCATTTTTTATAAGCCCAAACTAATATATAATTTCGTTTTAACTATTGAATATAAACATCTTCATTTACAAATCCAAACCAAAATTATTTAATTGTAAAATATAAAGCCTAATCCTCATTTATAAACCCAAACCAAAGTTATTTAATTGTAAATATAAACCCTAATCCTCATTTATAAACCCAAACCAAAGTTATTTAATTGTAAATATAAACCCTAATCCTCTTTTATAAACGTATACATATATATAATTTCATTTAATTATAAAATCTAAATTTTAATACTCATAAATCTAAATCGATATACAACCTTGTTTCATTGTAAAATTAGATATTTAATCTTTTTAATTAAAAGAATAGATATTTTGATTTCTTTCGTTTCAAGTTGGAGGAAAAACAATTGGTAATATTTATAACTTAAGTAGTAAACAATATTTTTTTGGGTAGGGCCTTTGTACGTTGGATCGGGACTGCATGGAAGCCATAACTGTGTTTAGCCCAATACGTAACAGCTTGTTTTCGGAAATTAAACTCTCCCGCTTTCGACCGAGGTCATTATCTGGCAAACATGTGAAAACTGTTGGTTTACAGAAGAAGACCACTATAAGGGCTTATCGTGACGGTGAAAGTTCACGCACGTTTAAGAAGCTGCCACCTTCTGAATGGGGTCATCACTTCCTCACTGTTCCCATTGACTTGTCGGTGAGTCTATGACTTGTTTGTCTTTTTAGTTGTAATGCAAAACAAGATCTTGATGATACACCATCTTTTGTAGGAAATGAATGTGTTGGCGAGAGAGATCGATGAACTAAAGAAAAAAGTGAAAGGAATGCTCATCATGCCTGCCCAAGGCATCAAAGAGACTAAGAAGAGAATCATGTTTGTCTATTTGCTAGTGAGCCTTGGTCTTGCCTGTCATTTTGTGGATGAGATTAACGAGAATCTAAAGCAAGGTTTCGAAGCGAGAGAGGAATTGATAGCCGGTGAAGATGATTTGTATACAGTTTCCACCATCTTTTGGATTTTCAGGACATACGGTTACGATATGTCCTCTGGTACGAGAAGGAGATCTCTAGCTAATGTTTTGTTTCCCTTTCATATTAACATAATGTTCCATATGTGTCAAAACAGATGTGTTCAAGAGATTTCAACGGGAAGATGGTACCTTCAAGGAATGTATTGTAGGGGATGCCAAAGGAATGTTAAGCTTATACGAAGCCGCGCATTGGGAGACACAGATAGAGAAGATCTTGGATGAAGCATTGAGATTCACACCTGGCCAGTTGGAGTTGTTAGCTGAAGGAGGGAATCTCCCACCTCATATCTCGAGGCTTATAAAAAATTCTCTTTACCTTCCTCAGCGTCATAATAACGAAATGATATTCGCAAAGGGATACATTTCATTTTACGAGCAAGAAGAAGATCATGACAAGATGTTATTGCGGTTTTCGAAGCTAAACTTCAGATTCTTACAGCTGCATTGGCTTCAAGAGCTGAAATCTCTTACCAAGTATTATGTTAATATTGTTACATGCATTTGTCAAGAAAAAAAAAGTATATATGTTTATAGTTATGAGATTGAAATAATGTTATGGTATATATACTTACAGCTACAATGAGGTCTTTTGTTGTGTTTGTGTAGGTGGTATAAGGAGCGAGACCTAGTGGCTAAGCTTCCACCTTACTTCAGAGACAGAATGGTGGAATGTTATTTTTTTTGCATTGGGAGTCCAGCCACAGTATTCACGTGAGAGACTTATAGTGGCTAAGTTTTTCATGCTCTACACCCTTGTTGATGACACATGCGATAGATTTGCTTCTTTTCCTGAAGCCAAAATTCTTGCTGAGTGCATGGAGAGGTATACTTATGTTACATTTTCTATATGAAATTACATTATCTAGAGATAAAAGCTTGATATAAAAGTACTTGATCCAGATTGGTTCCAGATTCGGTTGACAGTCTACCAGATTATATGAAACCAATCTTCAGATTTACACTCAATGTTTTCGAAGAGTCTAAAAGCATGAGTAGTTCTGAAGAAGAAGAATCCTACATTGTCCAAGGTGCACTAGAAGAGGTAAACTAAAATTAAAATCATAAATGGTCATGGTCAAATCATAAAAAGTTTTTATACTAATGTCTGAAGTAAGATCAAATTAATCATATATGTCTATATTAACATTTTTGTTTGTACTTCTATGTAGGAGTTTAAGATTCTCATGAGATCTTATGTTAAATATGACGAATTGGAATGGAAAAACATGGTGCCTACATTTGACGAGTCCATGGAGGTTAAAGACACTCAAGTCGCCATTTTCCCAACTTTACTATTAAGTTTTCTTGGTCTGGGACATACAGATATGGAACTGGCTTATAACTGGTTAAAATCCAGGCCAAAACTCGTTGCAGCTATGGCTAGACATGCCCGTCTGTTGAATGACATGGTCGGCTATGAGGTAAACCTTCATTTCGTTCTTCTTCTCCATATGGATACTATTTTATCGTACACAAGTAGTAATATTTTGTGGTGTGAACAGGATGACATGAGTAGAGGGGTTGATATGAATGTCGTCAACTACTATATGAAGCAACACAATGTTAGCAAAGAGGAAACATATAGGGAGTTTAATAAAATGGTTAGAGATACTAATAAGGTGGTAAATGAAGAGTTTTTGAAGTTGGCGAAAACAATGCCAATTCATATCCTCCACCGAGCCATTAATTGCGGAATTATGACGACTATCACCTATAGTGATGGTGATGGATACGCCAATCCCATTGGAAAATTCAAAGAACATATCACCTCTTTGTTCGTAGATTTGATGCCCCTTTGAATATCAAAAGATCATATTCATATGGCGTGTTATGCGATGAGATATTATCCATTTGCAATTAGATCAAAATTGTTGCAAGAATAAATCCAACAAAACTTATTGGTGGCTTCAATTTATGTGTTAGTGTATTTTGCATAACTTTAACTATATGGTTAGTGCATTTTCTCAATTTGGACCTTTTTGTGTGTTCCTTAATTTATTTTTCTATTAATCTACTTTCTTAAGACCAAAATAGCTAGTTAATATAACCACTTAAACTTTATTCCCTAAATGACTTGTAGTTAAGAGCACCTCCATTAATGAGTTTCTTAGATAGTTTCTAAGTATCTATATTATTAAAGGAGTAGTCAAAAGGCATCATGTTCGCTCTCAGAAAAAAATTACTTAATTACCCTTAATGAAAACCCCGAGTTATAACTTTTTTTTTTAATCTTTATTAATTAAAACAAAACAATTAAAATCGAGTATATTGAAGACAAAATGGAAAATTTGCTCAGAACGGATTATTGTTTTACATATAATGAAAAATTACCCCTGCTTTATAATTTGTTGTTAGCCCTTATTTAATCAAAACCAAACAATAAAAATTGGAAATGTCTTAACTAAAATCGGAAATTTCATAACTAAAGCCGAAAAGTTTTTAAAAATGTCGTATATAATGTTTCAATTTAGGATTTAGAGGAAATGGACTTACGTAAAAAAACCCGCTAAAAAACACCTCATAAATACTAGGATTTCTATGCTCTCTCCATAACTAAAAAATATAAATCTTTAGTTTTCTATCATGTTTGCGGAATTATATTTTGATACTAATCTTTTTTCTTCCTCTTATTCATCATCGTCTAAATTTCTGTTTTCATTTTCATGTTCGTGTAGTGGTTGTTTAGAAAGCAAGATCAAAGAATACTACACATTTGTATATGGTTACATCACCTTTTGAATTATGTATATTATCTCATAATTCATTTATTATTTTAAACTATATTTATTCCGAATTTTTTTTATTTAATTTTTATATTGGTTATTTTTTTTGTAGAGGATGTTAAAGAATATGTTACATTGCTCTCTACAAATTCAAGATCTAAATACTTAAGTTGGATGGAAAGCAATTTAATAGATGTTGAAGCAAGCAAGTATAAATATGAAGAATTTTCAATGGTATTTGTTTGGTGTGGTCAAGAAAATCAATCGAAGCGAAGGTCCAAAAAAAGAAAGAATCAACCTTAAGAATCAACCCTTAGGTGTCAACCCTTAAGGCGGCGGAGCTCGGGTTACTTCGCTAGTTAAAAGTAATTAGAAAATGAAAACAACAAAAAAAACTTTAAGAATCAATCCTTAGGTGTCAGCATTTCATTGGTTAATAACTAGAAGACGAGGAAAAAACAAATCTTATCTTGTTTATTTTTGTTTTTGCTCACCTCATGGGATTCTTAACCATTGGAGGTAAAAATTTAAAAACTCTTACATAAGTTCTTAGGTTTAAAAATTATAGAAAATCCAAATTCATAAATCAGTAGTCTTTGTTTCATTGCACTCTTCCAAATTCAGAAAAGAGATTATAACAAAGTATTACTATAAATTATAGAAAATCCAAAAATAAATCGTATATAAATTTTGAGACGAGTCATTGTTTCATTGCACAATCTAATGGTCTGATGTTACAGTTAACACAATCTAACAACACAGTCACAAACGTAACCAATCACAAACTTTCAGCACAAAGTTCTCTAAACGTGAAGAGGAAAAGGGGAGAGGGAGAGAGTTATAATCCAACATGAACACACAAAAAAATCACTTTTTCGAAATGAGAGAGATTAAAGACAAAACCCATGAAACCAAATGAATCATAAAACACAGAACAAATCCCAAAAACGTTTCTGACCAAATCAATTGAAATTTCTTTCAAACAATCAATAGAGAAACAAAAGACGGGGTTTTTAATGTAATTGAGGGATTAGAGATAGAGACCTCTGAATCTACACAACTTTCTTCTTCTGAATCTTTCGTTGGAGCACTTGGTCGAAGAAGAATCAATCAGAAGTTTGCTGAAATCTTTCGTCGTAGCACTTGGTTTTTAATGTAATCATTGTTTGCTAAATGAACCCTAGAGACTAAACGTAATCATTTAACATTGAAAAACATTAAAAAATCATAAAAGAATAAAACAATTCGGCTACCCATTTAATTATATGTTAGACGCGTTTATAAAAGGGCTTGAACGGGTGCACCAATTAATTTTTTGTGTGTTTTAGATGGGTTCGGGTGCTACGTAAATGCATTGCACCCGTTACGCCCGCGGGCCCAGAGCCCAATTTAACATCACTACCAATCACCATTCACCATGCTCCCTCCACAATATCCAAATATTGCTTAATGAATTATAAGAACAAAAAGAAGTATAAGTAGAATCAATGGTAAGAGAAAAGAAACAAACACTAAGTAAAACAAAAAGGCCAAAAGAGTTTTAGATTTTCGAGATAGAGTTTATGGGTGAAAGAAGCAACAACAACAAAAAAAAAAAATACATCACTAGGACACTGAATATGAACTCAACGACCTACTACAACATATATGATATAATATTATTACTCCTCTTCGTCTTCATCTAAAATCAAAAGAAAAACAAAATTTTACAAAATTTAACTTCTAGAGTCACAGTTAAATATGTATGAGGGATGACTCGTTCATTGCTAGAATGAATATAGTACAAAGTAATATTTTAATGATTTTGACTACGACATTGCTTCTTCGTGGCTTGAGTTTTAAACCTTAGTTCATTAGTTATTTTATACAATGTCAAATGATCTAAAAGCAAGCCTATTACTACAGGGGATAGAACTTTCTCACGTTGGAAAGGATCTGTTGTGGATTCAGTAGTGGGAGTTTTCCTCACCGAGAATGTTGCAGATCATTTATCAAGGTAATTCCAAGTGATTTGTAATAAACACAGGAAATGTGCAACATGAATAGTTTTCAAAATTATTAAGTTTTTCATCTCCTAAAGAGTGAGGAAGTTCAGTAAATCATGAAACAGTAATGAAATTGGATCCGAGATATGCAGTTTCAAATCCAAGAATTCGCAATCCATCTTGTGTCATCATAGAGGAGATTGATGATGATGAGGACGGCACCGATGTTGTTTGTTGTCAGGAATCCTCTAAATGGATCCGGCAGCATCATTGTCACTAGTTTTAGAGGATTCCTGAATACAAACAGCATTAGTGTCATCCTCATCATCATCAATCTCCTGTACAATCACAAAAGATAGATTGCGAATTCTTGGATTTGAAACTGCATATTTCAAATTTAATTTCATAACTATTTCATGAGTTAATGAACTTCCCACTCTTCAGGAGATGATCTCTTGTTGAAGTTCCAGTTGATAGGGAACTCAACAAGAAGATCCAAATATGCAGAACTACAAAGGTGAAAAACTTAATAATTTTGAAAAAAATCATTCATGTTGCACATATCCTCTGTTTATTACAAATTGCTTGAATGCATTACCTTGATGAATGATTTGCAACATTCAGGGTGAGTAAAACTTTCACTACTAGATCCACAACATATCCGTTCCAACCTGAGAAAGTTCTATCCCTTGCAGTAATACGCTTGTTTTTAGACCATTTTACATTGTATAAAATAACTAATGAACTAAGGTTTAAAACTCAAGCCACGAAGCAATACCGAAGTCAAAATAAATAAAATAGTACCTTGCATTATACGTACCACAGTTGGTGTCTCTTGCTATAATGCTTGTTTCATAAAGCTTGAATATATGAGAGATGACTCCTTACTTGTATATCTGGTTAGAGTAGTTGATGAGTTTGCATGGTCACCATACCTCCTATGTCGATCATAGCGGGCAAAGAAGCTCCGTGTTCGACCATGTGTAGAGTCCGAGGCATAGAGAACGATCAATGGCCAGCGTTGGTAGCCGACGCATAATTCTATATTGTATACAATGTAAACACTCAAAGTTAGTTAGTATTATCAAAGTTGTAATGAGAAGAGAAACTAAGCAAATGCTGTCAAGATATATATTTGATCTAATTTAGAAAAGTTTTGGTTTATTCATTAACATAAGAGAAGTATCTATACATAATTAGATTTCTTTATATGATAGAATCGTATCATATTGTAACACATGTCTCCCTGAGCAAATGAGACAGCGTGATACTTGCCTTACTAGATCATTCATCTATCTTACTTCCTCATACTTTTTGAAAAAAACTTCCTTTATTAGAAGCCGTAAAAATAACTTGTCTTAACCATTCCATGAAAATAGCCAAAATAGTTTTATAAATAAAATTAAATCCGTTTTCAAAATAAGAAAATAACGGAAATATAAATAATACCCAAGTTTCTCGAAAAACACCAGTGACGAGACAGAGTTGCGCAACTACTCAAGATTCCCACTTACAACTGAGGAAAAAGGAAAGAAGGGGTGAGTAACGAATTACTCAGTGAAAGGATCCTTTCCGCCCACTAGGAAAAATGAAGAAAGAAACTACCTTTAGACCACACTAGTCAATCACATAGAAATGGACATAACAATCAACTACTCCGCAAAATTGTATCGAGCTTAAACACACAAAAATCCTTGCCATAAGCAAGATATCCACATCAATATATGGTTCGATCATCTCTCATGACCTTTGAACCTATCTAGTTCCACTGGGCCAGTCAGCCTTTTATTGAGTTACAAAGAACTCGTCAATTCAATGCAAACCATTTCCACGTTCATCATCCTTAAAGATGGTAATCTCATTTAACATATCATACATCTTAAACTAGTCTTTCCTAAGACATTATCTCAACCACTTTAAAACATTCATCACTCATCAAATTATCAATTCCTAATTATCAAGACAACACTAGTTCGCAAGCAAATCTAATCCTATGCAAAAGAATCATGATGTCTAACATAGGAATTATAATCGAACTTCCGCAGATCACACCCTCACCTGAATCTGGAATGGACTGAGAACTGGAAGAGA